ATATATATATATATATATATATATATATATATATATATATATATATATATATATATATATATATATATACCTGCACACCTTCAAATTAAAAAAAAAAAAAAAAAAAAGCAACTTTGAAATGATAATTTTTTTTTTTTTTTTTTTAATAAGAGAAAATAAGAATTTTTTTAGGTTGGCCTCAAGATTTAATTTATAATGTTGGCAAAATGTAATCACGTGACGACGACGGCCCCAACCCATGTTTACATTAAAATAATAATTTTTCTATATTATTTAACGTTTTTATAAAAATTTCGTCTGGTTTTTTTTTAAAAAAATGATGACGACGACGACGACTTAAACGAGGATAAATCCGTTGTTAATAATAATAATGGCGATATATTCGTTAATAATTATTTATTTATTTTTAATGAATAAATGAATTTAACTAAAGGAGGGAATGAGAAATAAATAAATAAATAAAATAAAATAAAAAAAAAGAGATCAAGAGCTATTTGAAAATTGTATAACAAAATAAACGACGATAGAATCCGGTATGTTTGGCAACGTCGCATTTGATTTTATTAACAGAGAGACAAAAAAAACTGGTTCTTGAAACTCAGGTCGAGCCAAGCTGTCTGTGGGTGTTTTTTTTTTTTAAATGCTATTTAACACCGTACAAAACTTTATGAATATTTAACATTTTTTTTTTTTTTTATTCGAATAAAAAAAAAATATACGGCCATTACGTATAATAAAAATTTCCTTCTTTTTTTTCCCATTTTATTTTATTTTAATATTAAATAATAATTAGGACGTTATATTAAAATTTTTTATATGAAATTATTATTATTATTATTATTTTCCAAACGATTGGAATTTATTTATTTATTTTTTTTTTTCATTCAAAAACAGGTACATGAAAATTTAAATTCACCTATTGAATATGAATCGATTCTTTGCGGATTGGAAAAAGAAGAAGAAGAAGAAGAGGAAGAAATAGGTACGTAAGAACCTTTTTTATTTATTGTAAAAAAAAATTTTTTCCCCATTTTCATTTCTTTCATCATCAAACATTTTATCTATAGTCACGATTTTTTTTTTTTTTTTCGGGTAACTAGTCAAGTACCTGACCTTTAATTTTTTTTAAGAAGAGGGCAAAGCAATTATATATTGAGAAGAATATTAATAGCATCTAACGAATCCGCATCGGAAGTCGGATACGCGCGTCAAACGGCGCTAGATCATGTGATGTGTTTTCTCGGAAATGAAAGAAAACTTATTTTACCGTTACGTAAAATACGAAAGCCCTGGTTTTTTTAAAGGTAATTTTTTAACATAACCGGATGGTTTTATCTTGAGAGCGAGCAAGGACGCGCGGTTTTTTTTTTTTGAGTCACCGTGTCTCTCTCTCTAAAATCCAACAAATTTTTTTAATTTTTAATTTTTCCATTTCGTAAAATAATTTTTAAATATTTACGTCTTTGAAAAAAAAAAAAAATTATTTACTTATTTATTTTTTTTTTTTTTACGACGCTGATAATTTATATTTTTGCGTTTGTAATAAAATAACGAAAGAATACGCGTAAAATGTTAAATGAGAATCCATTTAAATGTTAATTATTGTGTTCTCAAGACGACGTTAAATCGCTTCAGTTTTATAGCGGTTATTATTTTTCTCGTAAAAAGTCCGTAATGTAAAATTAATTATTTGCTCATGTTTAGCTTATGTGTAAACAATTTTTTATTTGTCGTTTCACTTGTTGAAGATCGCGACGACTGCAACGTAAGAAACGTAAAAATAACATTGTAAATCGTATTCGATCGTTATTATCTTATACGTAAAAACAAAGTGGCCGCGCCATGCTGTCTAGGAAAAGTGGGGGCGCCATTTGGGTTTTGAATTAAAGAAGGGACGGGGTTAAGAGGGGAAAGGAAGGAATTACGACACAGCAAAGCAGGGGAGAGAGAGCTGAGAGTCACTCAAGTTTATTCAGTAGTTAAAAATCTTTTGTGTTAGAATTTGTTGTTGTTGTTCTGTTTAAAAACATTTTTTTTTTTGTTTTTTTTTTTTTTGTTTTTGTTTTTTGTTTGAGTTTAATAAAAAGAGAGAGAGAGAGAGAGAGAGAGAAAAAGAAAGGAAAGGGAAAAAAAAAACTTGCATGTGTATTTATAAAAAGCAAACTCATTGTAATGCAAAATGGCTCAAGGACTGGACGTGAGATCGTTAAGCAGTGCCAAAAGTCCACCGATTGATTCGAAAACCGGAGGAGAATCTATAAAAAGAACGCGTGGAGTTGGATCCCGACGAATTTTTTCTCCCCATTTTAAGCTTCAAGTTTTAGATTCGTATCGTTACGATGCGGATTGTAGAGGAAATCAAAGAGCGACCGCCCGGAAATACAATATACACAGGAGACAAATACAAAAGTGGTTACAATGCGAACAAAGTTTAAGAACAAGTGTCGAGAAAAGTGTTAAAAATGAAAATTCGAATTTCGTACCGTTGAAACCGTCGTCGAAGAAAATCCTCATCGATGATGTTAAAACGGAGTCGTCGTCGTCGTCGTCAATCACGTCGAAGCAACAAACCGCCATACAATTTTCAAGACTCGGCCGAAACGCCGGTGACGATGACAAATTAATGGCGGATGAAAAAATCCATGCCAAGACGAAATATAAAAACGATAATAATAATATTTACAACGGGGTCGAAGACTCGAAAATCCAAGTACAAAATCTTAAACGCGTCGCTCAAAAATTATATCCCTCATTGCAAAACGTGTCTTGTCTGACGGAAGACAAACTAACAACAACAACAACCAACTCCGGTAGGATTTTGGACAGTGAAAAAAAATATTTTCATACGGATGAAATCCGTTCGTTCGATTTGTTGCCTATTCCGGAAAAAAAAATAGATGATAATTTCAACGAAATACCAGGAACGGATGATGATGATGACGATGAGGATGACGACAACGTTCCTTTGAATTTAAAAAGTAAAGCTCGTTCGGATATTTTGCCAGAAGAATTTCCCGCTCGGAAAATCCACCACGAGGATGGTTTACCAGAGGACAAGACTCACAAGTTAAAAATAAAAGACGTGGTGGATAACTGTCAATCCGGGTTAACGTGGACGACTAGCGAAAACATTTGTGGGCCGAAGTTGTTGTGTTCTTCCAACGCGTCGGTTCTCAAATGTCCAGTACAAAAAAACAACATGGGCGACACCGGAGTGCAAGAAATGTGCGTCTTAGACACGAATAAAAATGTATTACTTTGTTCGCAGAGTTTTTTTAATAAACCGGAGTCAAACTGTCTGCCCGATGTTTCCGTGCCTAAAAATATTACCTCAACTTATTCTCGTTCCCATCCGGATTCTCATGCGAAAAGGAAAATGAACGAAGAGGAGGAGGAGGAGGAGAGGGAGGGGGAATCTGTGATAAAGATTTCTAAAATTGAATCGTCGTCAAACGACGTTCGATCGAAAATTTTAAATTCATACGATTGTACAAAATCATTTAGTCCGAAACGGAAATGGATAAAAGAATCGATGCAAGACATGCTCGAAGAGGATTCCGAACCCCCCCAAGAAAATCCCTCCTCCCTCCCCATCAAACAAAGAGTCAAAATGAATTTACGTTCGATACCGGAATCGTTTCATCAAAAGCCTGATGAGGATGCCATCAAATCATCCCGAGGTTCGTCGTTTTCAAATTTTACCATTGAAAAAATTTGCTCAAAGGAAACAACAAAGGAAACGTCGAGGAGACCATCCATCATATCCTCCTGCCACGGTGATTTCTCACAACCTTTTAATTATTCTTGTCGCCTTCCTCCACCTCTGACCACGTCTTTGTCCACTTGCGTGTCACCCGATGATGAAATGCCACCGTATGGAGATGTGGAAAGGACTCTGATGACATCATACGACTCGTACAATTATCCACTGGACGTATCGTTGAAAGAAGAAAAAATATCCGACGGCGAAGACGTGGACGTGGACGTTTTGAGCACGACTCCCGTCGAAAAGAAATCATTCGATTTTACAAATTACAATTTTGGTAAAAGGCGTTCGTTTTCCGTTCAATTCAAATTGACCGTTCTCGATGCTTTTTACAACGACAAAGACTGTAATAAAAATCAAAGGGCGACGGCGAGAAAATTCAACATAAATCGTCGTCAAGTTCAAAAATGGTTGAGTCAAGAGAATGATTTGAGGAGCGAAAGCTCATTGAAAAATGGAAAATATTTGCAGAGGCAAAGGTTGGCGAGTGGAGACAACAGGGATGCCTCCGACGTGAGTTGCACGAGGTGTCCTCAACATTGCTTCTTGGGTAGAAACGATGATTTGATGTCTTTCGACGACACGATTCAAGTCAACGTCAAACACTGTTCGGACGACGAATGTTTCGCGAGGAGGATGGGGAGGAGGAGCAGGAGTATGATGAGGGACAAGTTGGATGCGGCGGGAGGGGAAAACCACGGGAAAACCGCGAACCTGACCGGCGGTGTTGAATATTACAACAAGAACGCTCTGTTTCCAGGTGACCTCAAAACAACGACTTACTACCAAAATTATTTTTATCCAGAAAATAATGGCGGAATGATTTATCACCACGATGCGATTTTCGGTTGGCCCCATCATTTAAATTCTAGTGCCTTAGGAGTGCCAAATTTTCAATCGTGCCTATCCACGTGGCATCACAACATTGATTATTGTCACGACAATCCTCCAAAAATTTATTAGATTTTTGCGACGCGTGAAAAACACGTGTTTAAATAATAATAATAATAATAAAAGTGCCAAATTTTTCTTTAAAAAAAAAAAAAAATTTTAGACTGATTAATATAAATACGACTTTAGTAGAATTAAATTCTTGCCTGAAAATGAAATTAAATGCGTTCCACGCACACGCACACTTTTACACGCATCATTTAAAATCGATCGAACAATCAATAATCAATCAATCAATGATCGTTAATCATTTTCCAGTTCGTGGTGGAAGTACTTATTACAAGTTTGAGAAAGGAAATGACGTCATTACAAGTGTCTTCTTATTCGTGTTACTTATTTTCGTTATACATATCGTTTATTCAAATTCGTCTTCCATTTTGTTACGCGCGTTTTTTTCGTTTTTAAATAAATTTCAAAATTAAATTTTATTAATAAATAAATAAATAATATATTTAATGTTAGGGTTTTAAAAACATTTTATTTCGGCTTTTGTTTGTTTGTTTGTTTGTTTGTTTTCGACGACAATGAAATTGTTGTCGAAATTATTTTATTTTGTCGGTAAAACACGTTAAACAGACAAAGTGGCGACAAATTTTTTATTCTCGTATACGCTTAAAAAAAAATTTTTTTTTTTTTTGTTCTCTCGTTTAAAAAAAAAAAAGGAAACCAAAATAAATTGTAGTTAATAAATAATATTAATAATAATAATATAGATGATGTTGATGATGATGGAGATAATAATTATTATTATCATTAAATAAATAAATAAATAAGTTTTTTTTTTTATTTAATAAAAGTTCAAATAATTATATATATATATTTAAATAAATAAATAAATTTATATGAATAAATAAATAAATAAATATATAAGCATATTATCGAAAAATAAATAATTATTTAAAAATTATTTAAAATGATAATGATAATAATAGTTTTTTTTTCAAACCTGTAATTTTCCTTTGAAAGAAAAGAAAAAGATGGCGAATAAATTATTATAATTTTATTTGTAATTTTTACACGATATAATAATAATTTTATAATATCGAATTTATTTATTAATTAATTAATTATTATTATTATTTTGTTTGTGCAGAAGATACAAGTTGGAAAATATTTTGGAAAAGAGAACCGTTAGTGGCGGTTGATCCGATCGACATTAAAAGAAGATACAAAGATATTTCCCGCGTTATTTTTCAGGTATTTATTTTTTAAAAAAAAAAAACTTATTTTTAATGTTTATCTTATGGTACCTGTTTAAAAATCACGATACCTGTCGTTTTGTTTTCACAAAAGAAATGGTATTTGCACCTGAGCATTCTTTTTTTTTGTCGACAATAAAAACGGTTTTTTATCGGTAAACACGAACATGAGGAAAAATGTCGCACATTTACTAAATTTCGAATGCCATTTTTTTTTTTTTTTCATTATAAAAAAGAAGGAACAACAGGAGATATAAATTTAAAAAAAAAAAAAAAAAGTTGAATGACTTGGTTGTTGCTCCTTTCGAAAGGGTGGAGGGAAAAGGGGGAAGGTAAAAAATAGGGTAGTTTTCTTCCTTCCCTTCATCCCTTCAAAAACTCGAACGAAAATAATAATAAAAATATCAACAGGTGATATTATTATTATTATTATTATTTAATTCACAAAAGAATTATAATAATAATAATAATTTTAAATTGATTTACCGTTTCGAATTATTTGTCGTGTCTCGTTATTATTATCTCCCTCCCCCTTCCATCCCCAATCCCCTCCCCTTTCCGTTCCCCTCTCCCGAACCGGTCGCCATTTTTATTTATTTTCATTCATAACTTGATGAAAATTGCAAATGTTTGTTTTGTTTTCTTTTTTTCGGCTTTCAAATCGAATTTATTTTATTATTATTATTATTATTATTATTATTATTATTATTTACCCTCGAACGTTTGTATTATTATTATTATTATTATTATTATTTACCCTCGAACGTTTGTATTATTATTATTATTATCGTTTCATAGAGTTCGCACTTTTTTTTTTTTTTGTTACGGCTTGTCGCCATGTTGAATATAAACGATCAATGATGACGTCATCATTGATGAAAGATGGCGGGAGAAAAAAAGAACGTCGCGTTTTTTCGTTTTGTGTTTATAAAAAAAAATTTATTTTAAATGAATGAAATTTGTTTTTTTTTTTTTTTTTTTTTTTGGGGAGTCCCCCTTAGCCACATGTCATACTGGTCTTTGCCCCCTTCGTTTTGTTTTAAATAATGTGATCTTAAAATAGAATTTAAATATTATTATTACTATTATTATTATTATTAAATATGACCAAAATAAATTTTTTATTCGTTTATTAACAAATTCGTTTTTTACCAAAAAAAAAGGAGGGGGAGGGGAGGGGAAGGGAGAGTTTAAATTTTTTTTTTTTTTATAGTTTAATAAACCTGATCATTGTTGATAATAATAATGATAATAAAATTGTTGAAATTGTAATTAAAGATCACATTGATTGAATGTTAAAAAATTTCAAAGGGTATGGATGATGTAAAAGAAATTTGTGTGCGTGTGCGTGCGTGCGTGCGTGTGCGTGTGCGTGTGTGCGTTTAATGACGAAAAAGAATAAATTCGTTAAAGGATTTTTATTTCGTCGAAAATTTAAGGGAAAAAAGAAATTAAATGACGTTTTCATTCTCTATGACTTTAAATTCACTCGAATGTGTATATAAACATAAAGATTTTTTTTTTATTTAAAATAAAATAATTTATAATTTGCGCTCTAGTCGTTATTTAATAGCTTTTCCGGTCTTTTTGTGATCCCCCCTCTCGTACTGTCTCTTCCCCTCTCTCCCTCCCCCTCCCCCCGTAACAAACACACATAAAATATTAATTATTAAATGTCAAATGCTCTGTTTTTGATATATCAATTTATTACATTTATATATGACGACACGGGGTCAAAACCACTTAAATTTCGTCGTGTGCTTTGACAAAACGCACACACGCACACACACACACACATTCCATTTCTTCTTAATTTATTATAGAATCACCCTTTCGTTAATATTCCCCATGTACAACAACCAACCAACAACAACAAACAACAAACAACGTATACAGTTTTAATTTTCAAATCATATCGTCATCGTCATTCTCTGCAATATAATTCCTTGTTTTATCAACAACAACAAAAAAACGTTTCAAAGTATTTAAATAAAAAAAACCTATATTTGTCTACCAACATATAATAATAATAATAATAATGATAATAATAATAAATATGCCAGTCATAACATTTTATTTATAAAAAAATATACGTTGCGGTTTGAATTTGGGCGTTTTATTTAACGTTTTAATTTATTTGACATACTCATAATGGTTTTTTGTTATATTATTATTATTATTATCTATTTATTTATTTATTTATTTATTGTGATGTAATAAGATAAATATTCCAATTAAATAATATATATATATATATATCGAAAAATTGTGACTTTAAGAATTTTTTTCATTTATTTATATATATATATAAAATATAACCATTATTATTATTTTTTTCGTTCGTTTGTTACAAAATTAATTAATGGGAGAGAGAGAGAGAGAGAGAGAGAGAGAGAAAAGGTTAATTTATCAATTGCAAGGTAATATATATAAAAAAAGAAAAAAGGTCAGTAATAACAAAATAAAGAACAATCGCGTTTGGAAAGGATATGAAAAACGACATTTAAAATAATGTGCGTGCATGTGCGCGTGCGCGTGTGCACATATAATTACGCATATATGTTTTTCTCTAAGAGGTATAGGCCAAGGTTTTTCTTTTTACCTTAAATTTTCCACCTCGTTAATAAACAAACTAATAATAATAATAATAATAATAATAATAATAAAATATATGTATTATTTATTTTCAATATCGGCAATCAATCATTATTATTATTATTAACGGTCGGTTAAGAAAGAGTTCGATGGCGGTACCAATAAGAAAAATATATATAATGATAATAATAATAATAAAACGTTGGTTTTTTGTTGTTTTAGGAATTCAATGAGGTATCGATTAAAAATAAAAATTATTTATCATATGGAATAAATGGTAAAAGAATGGAATATAAAAATTTCGGAAATGGTATAATGATGATAAAAAAAAAAGAAAAAATGAAAAAAAATTCACTCGCATGCAAAATATCATGACGAAAGGTATGCTAATATAAAATATGGCAATTAAATAATTCACTTGTTGTTGGTAAAAACCGTAAAACAACCTCGCACATATAATATTACATACGCTTTGGGTTATATATAACCTAGTTGCCGAAAAAACCTGATGGTACGAAATAATACAAAAAAAAACCGACATGTTACCATTAAAAAAAATGAAAACATGGTTAATCCGTTATAAAACCTTTGAAATTTTTTCTTCTTCTTTCTACTTCCACGTTACTCCACCTTAACCCCTCTCTCTCTCTCTCTCTCTCTCTCTCATCCAGTTTTTTAACGAATTGTATCCTGAGGGTTTTTTTTTTTTTTTGTCTTTTATATACATCAAATTTAATTATTTAAAAAAAATTTTTTTTTTTATTAAAATGATAATAATAATGAAACGTATACAGGTTGTAATAGGAAAATTTAATGAAAATGAATTTGGGGGGAGGGGGAAAGGGGGTCAAAGAAATCATTTTTTTGTAAGGAAAAGTTGGAAATTTTGGCAATAAAAAAAAGAAGAAAACATTGAATTATTATTATTATTATTTCTATTTATTTATTAATTAATTAACGACGGCTGGTGGTAAATAATAATAATAATAATTTATTTACATTTATTACGTATCGAAGTCTAAAGGTTATCGTTATTTTTAAAATTAAAATTTTCATTTTTTTTTTTTTTTATTGTTTAAATGAGTAATATAAACAAAAATGGATGATTTGATCGTGAATATTATTTTCCCTCTCTCTCTCTCTCTCTCTCTTTTCGTCGTCGTTTTAGATCTTTAACCGCCTTTTAACATTATTATTTTTATGATAACGTTATCTAATTATTAATAAATATATATACAGGTACATTCGGAAAATTTTTTAAACGTGATCATAATAAAAAACTAATTATTTGTCCGATATAAAAAAAAAAAAAAAAAAAAAAATGATTAAACTGTGATAAATATGTTGATTTGTATGACAAAGGTAAAAAACGTTCAGGTTAAGACAATTTGCTGTCGTTAATTCATTCGTTAGAGTCGACGTCGTCGTTGTCGTCGGTGATTTTTGCTAAGGTTAATATTTTTTTAAATATGGCGCGAAATTATATATATGTGGGTAGTTTATCGTTTTTCAGTTTCGGAATAAAATTGTTTTTTTTTTTTCTTTTATTGAAATTATAAATTTCGTTTAAAAAATATTAAAAAATGTGTTTTTTTAATTTAAATAAATATAAAAAATGGTTTTTTTTTCAAATCGTGAAATGATATTTAATGTTAAAAAATGTAAAAAAAATGTAAAAAAATGATGATGATGATGATGATGAGGATAACCACAATTAAAAACTAAACGGTAATTTAAATAATTATTTTATTTTATTTTATTTTTCTACATATATTTGTTAATCTGATAGAATTTTAATACAAAATTTATCGTGCAAATAATAAAAAAAAAAATTGTGTCTGATATTGTATTAAAAAAAAAAAAAAACTTGAGCAAAAAAAAAAAAAGAAAATGAGTATTTTTTGATAATAATGATTTTTTTTTTTTTTAAATTGTATATAAAGTAAATTATTCTGGTTGTGTAATTACACTTTTATAAAAAAAAAAATTCAAAACAAACAATATTTAGATCATTTGTATAAGTAAACATATTGTAAGAGTTAAGTGTTAAGTCATTTCGACTGGCAGTAAATATTGATTAATGACAACAAATTTAATTATAGACTTTTTTAAAAAACATTTTTTCCATGACACTTTTTACTTATTTTTTTTTTTTTTTTAAATTTAAAATTTAAAATTTGACTGTTTAAAAAAAAAAATGTATAAAATATTATTATTATTATTAATTTTTACACTGAATTTCTTAATTGTGAACATTTTCATTTGAGTTTGCATCTTTTTTACTGTTGATTCTTTTCTTTAACAAAAAAATTTCAAAACTATTGTAATGTTGTACAAATTAAATGTAAAAAATTATCAGGATAACTAAGATGTTCGCTCATCCATTGTAATGGCGTATCTCTCGGTGGTTCAATACCATGAGTGAATACTTTGACTGAAATAAAATGACATTTAGTGAGATTTTAATTAAATATTCATAAAACCACAAATTAAATTGGGGGGTAAAAATAAGTAAATAACCTTTTTCGCTATTTTCTAAAAAAACTTCATCGATTAAATTTTGCAATATTTTTTTTTGTCCTTCTTCCGTTATGGGACGAATTAATTTTTGTATATAATAATCATCGCTTTGGTAACACCTAAATGGAATGTATTTAAAATTTTCATCACCGCTAACTTCCATTAATTTCTTATTGACAGCCCAAAATTGATCGAATTTATCTGGAAAAAAATTACAAATTATTATTATAGATTTATTTACCCTCTTCATTTATTTTCAAAAAACAAAAAAACAAAAAAACAAAAAGGCACCATTTTGCAATCCAAGCCAAAGCTGATTATGATCTTTTTTTTGCATATTCGATACTACTTGACTTCTGTGTTTTAAAACGTCAGCTTCTTTTATACAACTCATAAAATAACTTTCTACAACTTCTTTCGAATAACAATGCATTATTTCCTTTTCTGGAAATTTTGAAAAATGTACTGTTATGTTCCATGGTAATTGAATGTCGCTCGCAGATAAATCATACAATACTCCAATTGGATAATGCCATTTTAATGGTATACCATTAAAATCTAACCACATTTCCGCATCTTGTTTATCCGTTGATATATGACGAGAAAATTGTTTTCTAATCTGAAATGCAAAAATCATTATTATTATTATATAATTATTTTGTGGTAAAATATTTGAACTTAAGATGCAATAAAGTGTAATTAGAACTTTATTGCAAAATTGTTATTTGGTTCTGTATAGTTAATAATAAGAAAATGTTTGATAACGACAAAAACAACAACAACAATGTACCTTATCTGTGACTAGAGGAAAATAACTTAATCTTGGTACTAGTAAATATACTGGATCAGGTTCTCTTAAACCGTGTACATCGTCAGGATCTAAACGAAAACTTATTGGTAATCTTCCTTCCCATACTTCTCTTAAAACTTCTCTATCAGTGGCCATTGTGAAAACACTTTTAAATTTTTAACTATATTTATTTTTCAACATTTTTTTTCTCGTTGGTTCGATTTAAAAAAAAATAAAAATAAAACACGTATAATAAATAAATAATTGATGAATACGTAAAAAATATTTAATTTCTTTTTCTTTTTTTTTTTTTAACGGAATAAAACGGAATAAATTTTTGATTTTGTAATTAAATGTAATAAATAATATGGAATAATAAACGTGAGTAATTGGATAATAGACTTGTTTACAATAAAAAGCAGACGACGTCGTGGCATTAGATGATGCATCCGACACGATTAGTCGGGTTTTGATCAGTTAGGAGTAAACAGGTTTTTATTTAAGTAAAACGTTTTATTTTTTATTTTATTTTTTTTTTTTTTGTGCATTTATTTTACTTTTTGAAATGATTCGTGTAAGTAATTATTAAAAATTTTATTTTATTTATTCAAGTATTTAAAAAAAAAAAAAAAAAAGAAAAAGTGGAATAAGTTAAGTGTATAATAGACGGATTTGAATTTTTTTTTTTTTTTTTTTGACAAATAGTGAATTATTAATAATAATAGTTGAATAATGGGTAATAATGCTGTAAAAGAACATTGTGAAACAGCAAAAAAAACGGGAGTTTTTAAATTGTCGCAAAAAAGACTCAGTGAATTTCCTGATGTTTTATACGGTATTAAATCACATTTGAGAATATTAGATTTATCTGAAAACAGGTTGAATTCGTTACCCACAGATATAGGAACATTTGAAAAATTAAAACATTTAAAAGTGAATAAAAATAAACTTGGTTTATTACCAGAAAGTTTAGGTCATTTGCAAAAATTGGAAAGTTTATCAGTTTGTGATAACGAAATAAGAGGACTTCCTCAAAGTTTGTCTAATTTAACACATTTAAAAAAAGTAAGTGGATTCCAAAATGGGAAATTTTTTTTTTTTTTTTTTTTTAAATTTTTTTTCAATCATTTACATTTTTTTTTGTTTAGGTTAATTTGAGTGGAAATCTTCTTACAGTTTTTCCCATTGTATTTAAAAATTTAAAATCACTGGATGTTTTAGATTTATCAAGAAATAAAATTGTAAGCATTCCAGATGATGTTTCGCAAATTTACGCAGTCGAATTAATATTAAATCAAAATCAAATATCGACATTGTCTCAAGAGGTAAACTTAATTGAGTTTAACATGATGGAAAAATGGAAAAATTACAAATTGTTTTTCATTTTTCAGATAGCAAAATGTCCCAGATTAAAAACGTTAAGGTTGGAAGAAAATTGCTTGCAATTATCAGCCATTCCTCCGCAATTATTTATCGATTCAAATATTTCCGTTCTAACTCTAGAGGGTAATTTATTCGAAATGAAAAGTTTAACACAAATCGAAGGTTATGAACATTATATGGATAGGTACACAGCTATGAAAAAGAAAATGTTTTAGTTTAAAATCAATCGATTTAGTCCAGAGTACATTATTTATCTTTACCCAATTTGAGAGTGCAACAACAAGTATTTATCCATGAGTGTCCTTTGTCGAAGCATCCATTAAATGAATCATTCATACTGCATTTTTAATGCGCTTTCATATTTATTTATTATTATCATTATTTCATTTTAACTCCATTTTCGCTTGACAAACAAACAGAGGATCGGATATTCGTTTTAACAGGGATCACACTTTTTTTTTGTGCGCTCTTATATAAATAATTAAAAGACTACATACACATAAATATATATATATTAATTTTTTTTTTTTTTTAATGAAAATTTATATAATATTTATTTATAAATAAAAATGCTTTGAAATTTAAATCAAATACTTTTTTTTTTTTTTTTCTTAATACTAACTTTCGCTGTCATCTTCGGATGATGATTCTTCTGCAGCCTCATTCAACCATTTTATCAAAGGAGCTACCTGATGATTCATTAAAAAAAAATAAAAAATTATTAGGAAATTAATTTTAACAATTTCAATTTCAATTTCAATTTAAAAAAGGAAAACTTAAAAACTTACTTTACTTAAAATGGGAGAATTTTTATTTAAATTTTTATGCCAGTCTAATATGTTATCTTCCGACAAAATGTCGTTGTCGTACAAAAAATGTAAAATTTTCGCCACTTCGTTACCCAATTCTTCATTTATTTCCTGTCGATTCAAAAAGTGAAAATTAAATTATTTTTCGAAATAATAATAATAATAATAATAATAATCGATAAAAATCAAATTTCTGTAAAAAAATTTTAAATGTCGATGGTGTGAAATAGCGAAACAACATAATATCAAGTCGGTTTCGCATTGGAATCCATCATTTTCATCTAGCATTTTGTTCGTTGAAAACGTTCGCGACAAAGGTAAAGCGACATTTTCTAAAAACATTTTCATCAAAATGCAAACTTTTAGTATTAATTAAATTTAAAAAAAAAAAACAAAAAATTACTTCTATCAAACCGAGAGAATCCGATTGTGCTTCGACGGATTTTATGTAATTTTTCAAAACGGGTAAAAAATAATTTAAAACGGTTTTCGTGTTTGAATTCACTCTTGGCGGGAGCAACAATATTCCTTTGAGTGTGAAAATTGTGACGTCAGACAAAACGACGTTGTAAGCGTATCTCGATGAATTTATTTCGAGTATTAAATTATCGCACGAGAGTTTTTCTTCGAAACCACGATGAAGACTGTCCACGACTTCGGAATAAAACACTGAAAGGGTAAGTTTAATTTAATTTAATTTAATTTTTATAAAAATTATTTCCCCCCCCCCCCCCGTTTTATTTATATCGTTTAATGGCGCGTAAGAAATATGGCGTCCGGTTTGAATACTCACGTGTGATATCATCCGGTTGCTCTCCCGACGTTTCGCTACCGGCTTCAGATTCATCATCATCTTCTTCGTCTTCGTACATTTCAACATGTTCGGCATCCGGATCGTTTAATCCCAATTCATAAATCGAATTATCAGCTTCTTCCGATCCGTATTTATCAGACGTCATTTTTATGTAATAACAACTTCCATTCACCTTCGTCCATTTTTTCGTTGTGTTATCTTAAAAAACCGTTACATTTAATTAACCATTCATAGATTTTCCATTGGTAAAAGTTTCGTGTGAGAAAAGATATGGATGACACTTACCGGGAGGTGATTTTTTCATTATTACGTTTTCCCATTTCCCACTCACGTCAACATTTGCTCCAACGTGACAATTTTTCAATTCTCCATTTTCTCGAATACTGGTGTTTGTTCCAATAACTGACAATTCTATTTTACAATTTTTCTAAAGAAAAAATTTCACATCAATAACTTCATGTCATAGACTCGATAACATTTTAAAAGTGAGTAACAATAAAATATTTAGGGAAAACAATTGGATCGAATTAAAAAAAAAAAAAAAAAAAAGTTCTGAGTACATTTTGTAAGCACAAGGTCATTGCAAAAATGCATGAAATGCAAATTCACATTGGTAATATGTGTTTGAATTTTATTATTGCATTTAAATTATATTAAACAGTTATAATAACTGATTAAGAAAACATTTATAAATGCTAAAAATTATTTTCATAGTAAATTTTTAACTGGGTAAATCAAGTATTGTTTCTTCATATGAGGTACAAAACCTGATATTAATGTTGGGAAAAAAATAACACACTTACCTGTACATTACTATTTTTAAATATGAAAGAATCTTTTATGAAAACATTATCGTCTATTTTACAATTTTCACCGATAATAGATCTCAATATGGTTGAATTTTGTCCCACGTTTGAGTTTAAACCGATCATGACATCCCCATCTAACTTTAAATTACTGAAGTAATAAAAAAATTGTAAAAAACTCAAATTCTAAATCGATAATTTAAACAATATGATGAACAGTGTGAAATACATCAACAACTTACTTTCCTAAATGAACATTCTGCTGCTTGTAAATAAAATTCCTGTGGGAAGAGTATGGTTTTTCCGTTGAAAATGGTTGATCAGGCACGAAAGGAAATGTCCACCTGTGAAGGCAGTCCATGCATACTTTTTGAAAAGTTGGCCAATTTTTAACAGTTAATCCATAACTGTTATCACTTTGATAACAATATATTCTACTATCAATTATTTCTTCGTTTAAAAGTAAACCTCTAATAAAATCATCCTTTGTTTGAAAATCGAAATTATCGGAAAATAAAAGAGGTACTGATGGAGAACATATGGCAATTCCAGTGTCCATAAGACTACTGTAAATATTAATATTTACATTTTGAGAAAGATGTTCCTGGAAATTATAATTTTAATGAAAAATTTAGCTGTTGACATAAAATTATCGGTCATAATTAAATTTTAAAAAAAAAAAGTTTTATTTACCAATGGAATTTCAAATTTTTTTAATTTTGAATGTTTAACATGCATTAACAATTGCTTAGAATTTGCATTAATTACATAACTGGAATCATCTAAACATTGATCTTTAGAACCAACATCTTGAAGTATAAGTGTCATAGCAGCACCCTTGTCTTTACAACGAAGCTGCCTAGGCCATATTAAAATTAATCACTTTCCATATTTTTTTTTCCGAAAAAATGTTTTCAAATTTCATTTAAAACTTTACCTATGATGGTTCAATATATTAATTAAGTTAATATTTGACACTGTACATGCAGATAATAAAACAAAATCAGTTTTAATGATTGCTCTATTGTCTATATCTCTTAGGGCATCACCTAATGATCTTATTTTTTCTTTTACATGTATAATTATTACTTTCATAGGTGATAAAGGATCCAGCCATCGACATTTCCTAAAAACGTATTGTTTTTTTTTTTTAATTATAAAATACAATTAAAACTAACTAAAAATTTTTTCTTTCTAAATCCAATTCATTGCAACTTACTCATATTTAATTATTTCATCGATATTTTTATGAGATGAAATATATAATATTGTTTCGTGAAATCCGCAACGTCCTAAATATTCTAAAGTGTATTCGAATGCTTTTATATTGGCAATTGGCATGAATACCTAAATTAAACTTAAATTTAATACCATAGAACCAAATAAAATGTGTGTCGAATACATTGAACTCACCACATTATCAGGTACGCAGTAATCAGAAAAAATTCCATCGAAGTCATCAGCAATAACAACCGCTTGCAAGACTTCTTCTTGTTTTATATCTTTCGACGTATTTTTAATATTAGTCATTTTAAAAAAAAAAAAAAGAAAAAAAAAAAGTAAATTTAATGAAAATTAATTAATTTCATAACATGTGCTTGAAAAGCTCTGTAAGCGTTTCACAAAAACAGTGCTTCCAATACTCTTTTGAAAAAAATTAAAACTTGGTGTTATTTGTGTGCGTACAGGTGGTATCACTGTCAGTGTTCCGTCACTAAAGTGCACATAATTTTAAAATCTGTATTAGATAAAAAAAAAACTTATTTAATACAGCGAGCCTTTTAATTTTAATTTTTTCCTTTTTTTTTCCTTTTTTTTTTTTGAATTTTAGTTACGATCAGTATAATTGTAATTATAATGATTTTAGAAAAATATAAATTTTTTAAATTTACCTACAAACCATTTGTAAAATAAAGGAGTAAAGGTTTGTAAGTAGTAAAAACCTTCGAAATTGAGATATTTACACCAATTAATAAAAAGGAAATGATTTAAAAAACCTTTTTGATTAAATAATAATAATAATAATAATAATGGATGAGGAAATTAATAAAAAAGAGACGAAAATTTTCGGAACGGATGACATTAGAAAACAATGTCAAAATTGGACTTTAGCTGGAGATGCTGGACTTTTAACACATCTTGAAAATTTTTCCGAGGTAAATTAATATTTTTTTCCCATTTAATTTTTATTTTTATTTTTTTTTTTTTATAGATGAATTTATGTTTAAGTGTTTGTTCATATTCTTATATTATATAGTTATTTGATATAATATTAAACGTTTTTAAAATTGTTTATATAAATATTTTAAATAATTAATTTAGGTATTTTTTAGAAAATTTACAATAAAATTCAAGAAACTCAATCATTGTTTAATGAATTGTTGGACAGCTACGATGACATTAATAATAAAATAGGCAATACTACAAATCAATTTCTAGCTCTTCAAAATTGTCAATTTGTCGAAAATAGGGTGTACGATGAAGAAACTCCGACTGAAGAAAATATCACAGAACAGGTATTAAACTTATACATTACTATAGATTTATTATTTTATTGAAATTTTATAATTTTTTTATTTTTTTATTTTTTTTTTTGTAGAAAATAGATGAAAATGAAAAAGAAAAAGTTTTGCTATCGCAGTATAAAGAAGCAGTTGAAATTGGTATTAAATTGTTAGATACTCATTTCAATGAAGTTGAGTTACCACTTAATAGCGATTCAGAAGAAGATGATGATATGCCATCAAGGTATATATATATATTTTTTAAATAAAAAAAAAAAATCTCATAATTTAAATCAATGTTCAACCATTTTCATTTTTACAGACAAGTATCGCTTATCTGGAAGCCGAAAAATCCATATTCTAATAAAAAATTCCCACTTCTCATTGGTTCTTCAGAATGGTGGGCAGATGATTCAGTGGGATTAAAAACCGTAGATGATAGTTTAGATGTATCTAAGGAAATTTCAGAATCGGAAAGTGAATCTGAATCGGTACAGGATGTGGAAAAATCCGTTCACGTAAGTTACAGTCTACATATTATATACTTTTCTCTCCATAATCAAATTACAAAAAGAATAATTTTTTTTTTTTTTTTTTTTTTTAGTTATCTTTATCTTCTTCCACTTCGAGTTTGGATGTGAAAAAAAAACCTCATCACGTCGAATCAAATCATTCGAGGGAATCATCAGAAGATATATTCGGTTTGGATAAGAATTATAATTATTCCTCAAGTAATTCAGATCTTTTTGGCGTTATAAATAATGCATCTAATGAAAAACTTGATAAAATTTCTCCCATCATTGACAGTTGTATTGTTTCAAACGGTGAGACGATTTCAAGCGAAAACACATTACAAAAAAAGGAAGATGTGGAAAATGTATCAGATGAAGACAGTTTTAAAAACGCATCCAAAAAAGTAATTTTTATTACAATTTAATGCATTTTTATGAGTCATTTTTTTCCATTATTGTTGGAAAACAACATTATTTTATTTTTAGATAAATTCTGCATTTGCTAAAGAATTAGCAGCCAAATTAGGAAGTTTTAATAAAGAAGAATCTCGAAAAGAAACAAGTCCCCCTCCTGCTACAACAACAATCGATAATAATAATAAAAAACAGGAAAATGAGAATGTTATAAGTAAGGATGTTGAAGAAAATAAATTTATCAAAAATGGTGATACAGATGATGATGTGAATGATAGTAACAGTTTATTTTTCAAATCAGAAAACGATGATAAATTATTCAGTAATTCAAATCAATTATTTAAAGAATCTGAAAATGATTTGTTTCAAAATGATTATTTAAACAAATTTAAATCGAAATCTTTGAAAAACAATGAAAGTAAGTAATAAATGAGTTTTTAATTTTTTTATAATAATAATAATAATAATAATTTGAAATGTACATATTAACATAAACATTTTATTGAGGGAAAAAAAAAAAAATGTTATTAATTTTCAAATTTATTTTTCTGTACAGAAACAAATGATTTCAAATCGAATTCAAATCGAGACACATCAGAAGGAAAAACAGGGAAAGGTTTATTCGATGATTTAGATGACAACTTTGATGATGATGATGATGATGATGACAATGATGAAGATTCACTTTTCTTTTCGAAGCCTACTTTGAAAAAGTAAGTTTTTCTTTTAAAAAAAAATTTTTGTTTAAAAATCAAAAAAATAATCATTTTTTTGTACCATTTCTTGTTTCAGGAAAACTGAACTTTTCATTGACAATAATTTACCACCACAAGATGATGTTGAAAATACAAAAGAAACCAAAAAGAAAATCAAATTGTTTGATGATGATGATGATGATGATTTGAATGAAAAAGATCCCGACGGTTTAGATATATTTAAAATAGGTTCTCAAAAGGAAAATATTTCCAAGATGGCCACGTACGTGACGATAATAAAATTATTTTAACTTTGGATTTGTTGTACCGTTGAAATCATTAAAAAAAAAATGATTTTTTTTTATTTGATTTTCCAGGAGTGATAATTCCGACAAAATATTTTCACCGGTTAATAAAACATTGGAAAATAATGTGAAATCAATTTCGAAATTGTTAGACGATGACGTCATTATTTCTTCGAGAGAAAATGTCGGAGAACCGGAAGTAGTTGAAGACAAAAATGATTTGTTTTCCGATTTGTCCTCACCGGATGATCCGGTTTACATCGAAAAGAAAAATTCTCCGAGTTATGTTAAATCGACAAAGAATGCTCAAAGTGACAACAACGAATCTTTATTTCGAGAAAAATTTAAGCAACCCGACGCATTATCGATATCGAGTAGTCGTTCGAGTTTATTCGATGACGTCAACATGTCGAAATCGCGATTGTCTTCCGTTTTCGATAAGGATAAAACAAATAAATCCGATGATAATTTATTCAATGACGATTCACTATTCGAAGATGACGGTGATCTCTTTACAAAAGTTTCCGACAAATTTTCAAAGAGTAAAGAAATGACGTCGTCTCTTTTCGACGATTTCGACGACGCCGACGATTTATTTAGTAAATTTAAAAACAACGGAAAATCGTCTGAAGATTCTGGAAAATTTTCACCGCAAGAGAATGAATTGTTTGAAGGAAATTCAAGTCGCGACTTATTAGATGGAGAAGTCAAAGACAAAGTTACCGTTAAAATAAAATGTGATGTCGATGAGGATTTGTTCTCTGATAATAAAATATTTGCAGAGTCTCCAGAACGCGTTCCAGAAAATTCTTCTTCCTCCAGCAACAAAGTAATAGATTCTAAAGTTAGTTTAACCACATCTTCGAGTCTGCTACCGGAAAACGGAAATCGCGTCGATGAAGACAAATCAGAATTATTTATAAAGTCATCATCATCATCTCATACCATCATGGACGAATCTAATTTGTTTTCGAAATCTCCAATGGACGATGTCGTCAAATCTTCCCACGAAGATAAAAATCTTCCCACGTCTCCGAGAATACCGAAAAGCACGAGCGTGGGAAAATTAAACATTCCGAAAAATTTGAAAAGCAAATTGGAAACGGTCGTTAAAATGACATCGTCCGAGAGTAGCATAGAAGGAAATTTAATAAAGAAAAAAAGAGAAGAAGGTGGAGAGGGGGGAGAGGGAGGGGAGTCACTGGAACCACGTTCAAATCTTTTAAAATGTCCGAGTAGGGATAGAGTGAAAATACCCGTTCGAAGGAGGCCTCAATCTCGTCATGCTAGACACGAAGCCATTCGTAAATCCGGACTCGATTATTTTTTTAACGAAACAAACGAAACAAACGACAAACAAATTTCCCGTGTGGAAAAAAAATCATCGTCCGTCACGGAAATCGGAAATAAAATGTCGTCGAAAATGGAAAAAAAAATTTCCGAGCCATTGTTTTCCTCGCGAATCGCGAATTTTCCACTGTCGCCATCGACGGACGAAGAAGATTTTTTCAACGTGCCCAACGACGAACTCGATAAAAACGTTGAAAAAGATCATGATGATGATGATGAAGAATTGTTTAAAAATAATTTGTTCAAACCGGAAACGTGTAGGAAAATCGACGATGGTATATTATTTAATAAAACTTCCGGTAGTGCGATGGGAAAATTTGAAGAAGGGAAAAATGACGCAATTTGGAAAGAAGAAGAAGAAGAAAAAGAAAAAGTCGAAGATTTATTTTTTAAATCCGAATCGAAGGAAAATGATAAGAAAAAAAAAATTAAAATTTTTGATTTTGATGATGATGATGAGGACGGAAACGGAAACGGAAACGGAAACGACAGCGATGGGAAAGAACAAAATTTATTATTTAAAAGCAATTCGAATAAATTTAAAGGAAAAGATGATTTATTTAAAAAAAAATCATTGTTCGATATAGAATCGGATGATGATGATAATGATGATGATGATGATGATGATGGTGATCTTTTCGGTAGTAGGAAATCTAAAGATAAAAAAATTCCAGTAGTTTGTTCGAAAATAACAACTGGAAAAATGATTCCGGAAAATGATGATGATGATGATAAAAAAAAAAAAAAAGATGGCGGTAAATCGTTTGTGGATCCGTTAGGTCTCATGTCGAATAGCGCGAATGATTGATTGAGATTTGATTTTTTTTGAATTTCATCATCAATCAGACATTTTGTCGGTTAAAATTATTTTAAACCGAAGCTTATGAGCTTTTAATAATAGTATTATCGTATTAAGTATCTCAGTTTTAATTGTTTGTTTGTTGTTACTGTTGTTGCACGCATGTAAAAGCAATAATAATAATAATGATAAAAATGGGATAATAGTAAAAAAAAAATTTTAATAAAGAAATATTGTAATATTTAAAACATTTATTTTAATATAATCAAATATATATTTTTTTTAATAAATAATATATTCACACGTTGATTTAATAAAATCATTTTTTCTAAACGAAAAGATTTTAAAAAAAAAAAAAAATTGATTTAATTTAACGTTGAAATAACGGTCGGTACGTATTAAAGAAAAAAAAATCAAAGGCGGTAATCAAAATTTCATAGAGTATATCAATAATCGATTTGCTTGTTTTCATAGATAAAAAAATTTTAATCTTAGTAACATGACCTTAATATAAAAAAAAATTTATCTTAAAATGATTTCTACTCAATTATATAACAATAGGAAGAATAATTCTTTTTATATTTAAAATATCGAAATTAAATCATTATTAGTTTACTGTTTTTTTTTTCGGATCATTAACAATCAGACAAGACGTATAAAGAAATATTTAGTTGTTATAAAATATATATATATATATATATATAAGTAAGTTTAAAACATTTTAAATAAAATATTACCTGTGTCGCACAAGTTATTTCTTGTCGATATAGTTTAATAAAAAAAAAAAAAAAAATTAGGCATAAATGATTCTTGTTAGTAAATGATAAACGTTAAACTTATTTAACCGGCATTTTTATTTTGTGTTAAAAAAAAGTTTTTTTTAATTTAAATTTGAATTTTTTTTAAAATTTAAAGTTATTTGTGTTTAATTATTTTTTAATAATCGATATCGCAAGGTATTATTAGATTAATCGATAATTTTTATATGTTATGTACAATTTATTTATTTTTGATCGTTATTAATTTTATGGTTTTAGGCTTAAACATGAGAACTTTGTAAAACTTGATGGTTGTCCTTTTTACAAATCCAAATTTTACATAAAGGTTAATTTATTAACTATTAAATTATTAAAGTGTATATATATATATATATATATATATATATATATATATATATAAAAGTGCATTTAAAAATAAATAAAAAAAAAAAGTTATTTTTAATTTGAACTTTGAATTTAACATCAAGGTCAGAAAATTTTGTTTAAAAAAAAAAAAAAAAAAAAACTGTAGGAATCGAGATACAAAACTAATAATTATATTAATCGACATTAGCTAAACATTAACTAATATTCGAAACTCATTGTGTATCTCTCTTTTTTTTTTTTTTTTTTTTTTTTTATTTGATAATTGTCTTATCTTGTTTGATTTTTACTTTTTTTTTTTTTTTAAATAAATTAATTAATTAAAAATATTACTTTACTTTCTTTCGAGTACTGTTTAAGTAATTAAATTATTTTTTCTTTTAGTTGATTTTAGAGAGAGAGAGAAAAATATAGAAAATCATGAAAGATATTGAAGTAAAATGTGATGTTCAAGCTTTACAAGATATAGCCAATCGTTTAAGAATCCACAGTGTCACTGCTACGAATGCATCAAAATCTGGTCATCCTACATCATGTTCATCTCTCGCTGAAATCATGTCCGTATTATTTTTCAATGTCATGAGATACAGTCCGAAAGAACCAAAACATAGATCTAGTGATCGATTGGTGTTATCAAAAGGTCATGCAGCTCCTGTTTTATATGCAGCTTGGGCTGAAGCTGGCCTTTTCTCACCCTTGGAATTACTTAAACTAAGAAAAATTGATAGCGATTTAGAGGGACATCCAACACCGAGATTAAATTTTATCGATGTGGCGACTGGATCATTGGGACAGGGCCTTTCCATTGCTTGCGGTATGGCATATGTGGGAAAACATTATGATCGTTCCTCTTACAGGGTGTATTGTATTGTCGGAGATGGTGAAAGTTGTGAAGGAAGCATATGGGAAGCATTACATTTTGCCGGTCATTATCAATTGAATAATTTATGTGTCATATTCGATATAAATCGGTTGGGTCAGTCTGGCCCCACATCACTCGAGCACAATATGGAGATATATAAAAAGAGATTGGAAGCATTTGGTTTTCATGCAGAAGTTATCAATGGCCACGACATTGAGGTTCTTTGTAAAGCTTTTCATACAGCATGTAAAAATGTTGATCGGCCTACTGCATTACTCGCACAAACCTTTAAAGGGAAAGGATTCCCCGATATAGAAGATCTCGAAGATTGGCATGGAAAACCACTCATGGATAGAGGAGAAAGAATAATTCAAGACTTGAAAAATTTAATCAGCACTGATCAATCGAAATTAAAACCATTAGAAATAGTAGATGACTCCCCCATTGTAGATATATCGAACATTAAATTGTCTACACCACCTAATTATTCCCTGGGAGATAAAATAGCTACCAGATTGGCGTATGGAGTCGCTCTTTCAAAAATAGCTGCATCCAACGATAGAGTCATTGGATTGGATGGCGACACGAAAAATTCAACTTATTCCGACAAGTTAAAAAATGCATTTCCGGAAAGGTACATAGAGTGTTACATAGCCGAACAAAATTTAGCTGGGGTTGCCATCGGAGCAGCTTGTCGAGACCGTACCGTAGCTTTTGCATCAACATTCGCTGCCTTTCTAACAAGAGCTTTCGATCAGATACGAATGGCAGCCATATCTCAGAGCAACGTTAATTTTGCCGGATCTCATTGCGGAGTTAGCATCGGTGAAGATGGTCCCAGTCAAATGGGTTTAGAGGACATAGCCATGTTTCGTAGCGTTCCCAACTGTACCGTATTTTATCCGAGTGATGCAGTGAGCGCAGAAAGATCCGTCGAAATCGCTGCCAACACGAAAGGTATATGTTTCATAAGAACGTCGAGACCCGCAACCAGCGTCCTTTACAAAAACGATGAAGATTTTGCCATAGGAAAAGCAAAAATATTGAAAAAATCCAACGACGATCAGGTATTGATCATAGGTGCCGGAATAACACTTCACGAAGCTTTGGATGCGGCCAACAAACTCGCTGAGAAAAATATTTCCGTTAGGATTTTGGATCCATTTACGATCAAACCCCTCGACGAGGACGCCATCATATCGAACGCCAAAGAATGTAACGGAAACGTCATAGTCGTGGAAGATCATTATCCGGAAGGAGGAATCGGTGAAGCCGTTAAAAGTTGTCTAGCAGAAGAAAGAAATACTTGCATAAAACATTTAGCGGTGAGAGAAATTCCGAAATCCGGACCACCGAACGCACTCTTAGAAAAATACGGCATCAATTCGGCCGCCATTATTCGCGCCGTTAAATCTTTTTCAATATAAGCTTATACCAAATGATAATAATAATAATCAATAAAATTTCCTTTTCTTCTATTATTATTATTATTAAGCACAATTTTTAATTTTTTATTACAAGTATTGCATCAAATTATTTTAAATAATGTTAAATGATGATGATGACGATTATTGAAACCTTTTGTACATATATATTTATCATTACAAAAAAAAAATTTTAAATAATAATAATAATAATAGAATATTTAGAATGTGGCAGGTAATTAATTATCATTAAAATGATGAAAAGGAAAAGGAAAATTAATGTATGGATTTTTAAGGAAAACCAAAAATAATTTTTAATAAAAAAAAAAAAAATCAAATCTCATTTTAAGACTTAAATAATAATAATAATAATAATAATAATTCCTATAAAGATTTTTTTTTTTGTTGCATTTAATTTTTTTATTTATTTTTATATTACATACAATCACAAGTTCTTAATGTATTTAATTTAGTATTATTATTATAATTATACATAAATTTTTGCTTTTTTTTATGTTTTATAACGGAAAAGTAGTTGACTGATTAGTAATAATAATAATAATAATTGTTATTGTTTTTAATATTAAAAAAATGTGGGGAAAAAAAAAATTTATCGGGTGTAACGTTTTTTTTTTTTTTTATTGATTTTGTAAATTTATACGGGTTTAAAAAATTTAAAAAAAAAATTAAAATTTAAATAGAATTTAATGTTTATTTTTGTTATAATTTTATTTATTTTTCTTCTTCTTACATGAGTTTAAAAAGTATAATAATAATAATAATAATAATAATAATAATAATAATAATAATAATAATAATAATAATCAATCAAAAATTGATGATTCCAATGGAAAGAGTTGGTTATTTATTTATTTATTAGGAAATTATTATTTTTAAATAAAATCATGTATGATTTACCATATTGAAAATAATAAATAAATAATAACGGATTAAATCGTTTATTTTTTTAAAAAAAAAAATTCGTTAATAATAAAATAACGTTTAAAATAGAAAGTAAAAATTTGAAATCGTAAAGCGGAAATTATAAACTGGTATTATTATTATTATTATTATTAAAAAAATTCGGTTTTCATAATTTGGCACGAATGATTTAACCTTTGGTTAAAGGTTGATTTAAGCGTTGCCGTGGCCGTGGCGTGGCAAGGTAGAAAAAGGTGAGGTTTTTTTTTTTTTTTTTTTTTTTAATATATCGGTTAAAAAATTTCAAAAAAAAAACGAAAAGAAAAATTATTTCGTTCATTTTATTTATCCATAATTTATTTTAAAATGGAGATATGTTATTTAAAAAATGTCTGCCGACATTGCTCTCAGTCAATACTATATGATTTTGGCAAAAAAAAATTTGGCGTTCGTGTTAAATACAAATTATTCGATGTTATTATAAATCCCCGATAAATGTTAATTAATCGTTTTAAACATTCAATATTTAATAAATAATTTTTAATAATAAAAAAAAAAAAAAAAAAAAAAATGTCATTTTTTTTTTTTTTTTTTTTTTTTTTTTAGTGAGGTGGTTTTTGTTTGAATGTGGTACCATTGGAATTCATTTTAGATTTTTAAACATTTTTCATAATCATAATATTTATTATTATTATTATTCGTACCGTCAAATGTGATTATTATTATTATTATTACTTTTCAACATCTATTATAAATTGCACAAAAAAAAACAAATCGAGGATAATATAAATAATTATTGTTAAAAAATATTTTATCGTGCACCGACTTGTGATTAATCGATTATTATTATTAATGTTATTTAATTAATGTCAATATTTCCTGAATATAATTGAACTATTATTAAAGGCAAGTTTAATATTGTATAAAATAAATTTTATTATCCCATGTGTAAGGAAAAAATTAATTCAAACAGCCTCATACATGAATTATTTTTATGAACCCATAAATTAGGTTCTAATTGTCATTTTTCAAAAAAAAAAAAAAACGTGTGATGTTGCCAAATTATCCTGCATGCCAGAATTCATCCAGATCAAGTAAAAGGTTTGAAATTTTTGTCGATTTGGACATTAACATATTTATTACATATATATATACATGATATTGTATATATATGTGTATATAAGTTAGCGAAGTAAAAATGTCAAAGTGATTTTTTTGTTTTGTTTTGTTTTGTCCATTTTAGGAAAATGAGTAGCTCTGAAGAAGTGTCTTGGATTTCATGGTTTTGCGGTTTAAAAGGCAATGAATTTTTTTGCGAAGTCGATGAAGATTATATACAAGATAAGTTTAATTTGACCGGTTTAAACGAATTAGTTCCACATTACAGACAAGCTTTGGATATGATATTAGATTTGGAACCAGGTAATTATATATATATATATATATATTATATTTATTTACTTATTTTATCGAAACTTTCATAATGTGTGATCGTTTCCCCCCCTCCTCCTCGTCTCCTGCTGAAATTTTAAAATGTTTTAAAAATTGTGCTAGATGATGAAATAGATGACAATCCTAATCAGTCAGATTTAATTGAGCAAGCTGCAGAAATGCTATATGGACTCATTCATGCTAGATATATATTAACCAATCGAGGAATTGCACAAATGATAGAAAAATATCAAAGCGGAGATTTCGGGTGTTGCCCAAGAGTTTATTGCGAAAGTCAACCGATGTTACCTATTGGTATGTCACATTAATTTAATTTCCTTTTGAAACATTAAATTGGTTTGTATAAAAATTATTATTATTATTATTATTATTATAGGTTTATCCGATGTACCTGGTGAAGCTATGGTTAAATCATATTGTGCTAGATGTATGGATGTTTACACACCTAAGTCATCTCGTTACCACCATACGGATGGAGCATATTTTGGAACAGGATTTCCTCATATGCTTTTCATGGTTCATCCAGAATACAGACCTAAAAGATCTAGTAACCAATTTGTTCCAAGGTATGTCAATTCGATTATTAATTACACATGATTGATATTTAATAATGATAATAATAATGTTTTTGTTTTGCTTTTTAGGTTATACGGTTTTAAAATTCATCCTTTGGCTTATCAAATACAACAACAGGCGGCAACAAATTTTAAAGCTCCTATTCGTACGTTGGTTTATAATAATGGCAAACGCTGAAACTACGATAATAAAAATAAGTTGACAATTTTTTATTTCAAAATCAACAAGTTTAGGAAAATGTTAATTGAAGCAATTCTGAATTTGTTTAAACTATTCTTAAAAACATAAGGAAAAATTCGGTCTAAAGTCCGTCGTCGTCGTCGTCGTCCTAGTACACTAGATGTATTTTAGAGCAAAAAAAACTGGGGGGATGGGGGTGGTTGGGCGGTCAACAATTTAAAAAATGCCTTCATCGAAAGTTTATTGGTCTTGTGTGAATATTTTTTTTTTTTTTTTTGGCGATTTGACGTCGTATTATTGGATCGAGTTTATTTATCTTTTATTTCTTATGTTTATATTAATTTTTTTTTTATCGAAAGTTTTGAAATTCTTGTAAACACACAAAAGAAAAAAAAAAAAAAAACATTTTTCTTATGATTTTATCATTATTATCGATTCAACTACACATTTCCAGATATATATATATATAGAAAAATGTTTGTTTGTTTGTTTGTTTGGTGAGATTTGTTTTGTGAAAATTATGTTTTGTTTGTTGGTGCGTCACCAATTTTATTTTGTACAAAACATTATTAAAAGACTTAACAAGTCTATTAGCTAACATTTAGGTATTAAAATAATAATTTATAAAGTGTGTTTTCCAACATAAAAAAACATAATTTAAAAAAAAATAAATAAATAAATTAATTAATTAATAATCAATTTAAATTAATTCTTACTTAACGTTGTAATAATGAATAAAAACATTATTAAAGCGGTTTTCACGGTATCGAATTGTCTCTCCATTAAACAAAAAATGTATTTATATATACGAATGAACAGCACATCATATCTTCAAATTGCTTGTAAGCTAATTGTTACTTTCACATTTGTTTTTTTTTTTTTTTTTTTGTTTTCCCCTCCCTTTCTTTCTTTCTTCTCCATATGTTTATATTCATCTTATTTTCTTAGATTATTTTGTTTTAATTATTTAATAAATTAATAAATAGTTAACAAAATTAATTTGTTGATTTTTTATTATTTTTTTACATCAAAAGTTTAGAAACATTTTAAACGTGATTATTGTGAAACTTTATTTATAAAAGTTATGGAGTATAAAATTTTAATAAATTTAATATAATAATAATAATAATAATAATAATAGTAAAAGTTGTGTAAAAATAATTGAAATGAATTTTAAAAAAAACGGTTTTTAATTATGGTGGATACAAATCCGAGTCATAATACAAGTAAGATCATTTTGACGCCAGCTGTTATGGCGGAAGCGGCTAATTATTGTTTATAAGTTTATTTAGTTTGAATTTTTTAAATTATTATTATTATTAATTATTATTATTTTAGTTATTTTTTTTTTGTATTGTTAACTATAGTTTTTATTTAAATGATATTAAAATATATAATATATATATATATTAAATTTCAATGGGAATCGAAGATACCCAAGCATCAAATATATTAAATGAATTAAATGCATTTATTGCTGGTACGACTCGATCTTCAAAATTTAACGAATTAGAATTAACTAAAACAGCATTAAATTTATTAAAAACATTACCGGCATCTCGAGATGCCGTTTTAGAATTTTTTTGTTCCGTTTTTGATACCGCAGTTAAAAAATATGTGGCTTGCATCGAGGTAGGTTGATGTTTCCATTTGCGTTTTGAAAATGGTTGTCACCTAACCAATTAACGAGACGTTATTATCAGGCAGATAAACTGTCGGCCTGCCAGTCTTTTTCAAATCAACAGGAAGATGCTGTTATCAGTGAAATACATTCTGTGCTATGTAATTTTGTGACTTCTAGCCCGGAAGCATGGGCACCAATTATTTCTGCATGGTCACTTAAAGTATTAGGGCAAGTGTCATCACATTATAGTCAACTTCCATCATCAGTTGGTTTAAATGAAGCTCTACACTGGTGGATGTCTTGCAGAGCTGCAAGAACTCTCGTGGACATCACTACACAGTGCTTGTCATGTTTAATCGATTCAGATACCGAAACTTGTATTAATGCATTGTTGGGTAAATAAAATCTTACCATATCATGATTAAAAAAAAATCTGTTTTGATCGATTGTTCTTTAAACATTACATTCTTTCATAACTGCGTTACTAAAATATTAAATTTTTTTTTTTTTCAGATACGAGTGTTGCTCATTCTCCCCATTTCGATTGGGTAGTTGCTCATGTAGGGAGTTCATTTCCTAAAACTGTTATCACAAGAGTTCTGTCTTGTGGTTTAAAAGATTTTTGTGCTAAAGGAAATATTCAATCTTCCAGTAAATCTGCCAAACTTAATTCAGTAGTCGGAATATTAGGACACTTGGCATCTAGTCATTTCACAGACATTAGAAAGGCTCTTTTAGAGCTTTTCGAGGTATGTAGTAATTATTTACAAAAAAAAATGATAATAAAATATTGTAAATTACTAATAGATTATTATTATTATTTTTTTTTCAGTGGATATTCGATGATTCAAATGCAGATTTGCAATATCGCAGTGCAGTTATTCCATTTCTTCTTCAAATAGCATCTAAATCGCAAACACTTTTGAAAGCTTTATCGACTGATGTATTACACACATGTAAGTAATTTAAAATTTTTGTTATCTAAATTTATTATTAAAAATAATAACTGAATGATATATTAATTGATAATTAACAAAAAATTTTTTATTTTCAGTGGACATGAAAATGCTTTCGAACCTTGCCGAGTTTGCACCACATTGGAATGCTTATTTTAAAAATGACACAGAGAAATTAGAAGACTTAATTATACATTTAGCTCTTGGCTGTGAAAAAGGTGGTGCAAAAATTATTTCCTTACTGTTAGATGGAACAAGTTATCATGATGCTAACATTGCAGAACAAAGCAATATACTTCTGGGTAATTATGTAAAATTTGAATGAATTCGAAGCTTACAAATTTTTAAAATTACAATTTCATACTCATATAATTAAAATAACAAATTTTTTTTTAAAGAACTCTTATTGGAAGATATCGATGTGCAACTTAGAAGTTATAAATCAACCACCATACCATTTTTAGAATCAATCAAAGCGGAAATAATTCAAGTTCAACATTTACTTCTTAGCGATAATCCTCTTAAGCAACAAACAGCTTGTAGACTTTTTAAACTTATGGGTAATTATCAACATAATAATAATATGTTTCTACATTTATTTAGTTTTTTTTTTTCATGTAAAAAGTTTGATTTTTGTTTTTTTTTAATTAGGATCTGTGAATCCCTCTGTAATTGTGGATCTTTCTTGTTATCTTCTTGTTCATGGTACAAATGGAGCACATAGGGCAGCTCTTTTAGATCTTGTACAATCCAATTATTCTTGTAGCCTTTGGGAAAATAAAAACATATTGGCTTTGGCATTGGAAGAATCTTTGAGATTGATTTCCGGCGAATTCACCGAAATAAATCATCAGCACACCAACATCGATCCACATTTACTATGGCAAAATATTTCCGAGCTTATAAAGTAAGAACGAAAATTTAATTTACTTTATTTATAAAAATGTAAACTCGAAAACGTAAATTTTTGATTGTAGGTTCGAAAAGAGTAGAAATTTGGAGGACACTCTTTCCCATCGGGTTGTTTGCAATGCCGTTGCTCAAAATTTATCTCCCCTCACCGACCTACTATCGAGCTGTTACAATCCGGAAACGTTAAACGCCATAACATACGTGATCGATCTTTTGCCATTATCATCATTATCAACGTTATCCTTACAACCCATGCTTAGACTTTCGAAAAATTGCGTCAAATATTTTTTTATGTGTTTAAACGAAAAAGGTAATTTTATCGTGAATAAGGCGTCCGACCGTTAACTCATTCTCTAATTAATTTCATTATCGTGCAGACAGGTGGAAAAAATGTTTGAATTGTCACGTGGCTTGCAGTCTATTAGGAAAACTTTGCTCTCGTTCATCATCCGCTAGAGCATTAGCAATACGCGAATTGTTAGAATGCAGTCTTTTTCTATCCGCATCTTGTTTATTTGGCGCAAATAAGAAAAAAAATTTCGTCGATTCTAAACAAGGATATTTACTAATGGAACAAAATTATCAATTGGTAACGTTTTTTTTTTTTTTTTTTTTTTTTTTTTTGAAAAAGATGAGGATTTTCCCATTTTATACAGAAATTTGTTTGTTTGTTTGTTGTGATGTTGCGTAGGGCACAACAACAATATTAGCTCAGCGTCAATCGAGCGTTTTTGGAAATGGCGTAACGCGTCATGGAAAAAAAGAAAAAGTTGTCGTTGCGAGATTGGATGAGGATATCGTTAAAGAAAATACCGTTTACTTAATAAAAGCCATTAGGGTAAGAAAAAAAAAAAATTATTGATTCGATTTGATTGGTAATTATATTATTATTATTATTATTATTTGTTTAAAAAAGGCTTGCTGTACGGATACGACAAAAACAAATTCGGATTCCGGTAATAATTTATCCCTCGATGCTGTCATACAAGTTTCCCTGTTGATGGTTGAACTCATTTCTCCCGACGTCATGTACAACGGATTACCATGGCCGGAAGAAGAATTTTGCAAAGTATATTGTTTTTTACACGATATTCAAAGCGTTTAGAAACAAACAAGCAAAAAAAAACAAAATGGTTTCATATTTTTAGGTTACCATTGAAAGAGACGTACACATTCGTAAAATATTCGACGAATTACCTCTCGCTTGGAAACTATTGGATTTCATAGCGCGTAATCAACCCGCACTTTGCTATTGTTCGGTTTTGCTGAGGGCGCTCATGGCAACGTTGAAATCGCAATGGAGTTCGACGTCTACGTCCGATAGCAAAATCGTACTCGCGGCAACGGTTCGCCTATTGGAAATAATGTCTTTGGGACAGCTGTTGCCTCCACCGTTGTCAAGTTTACAAGTGGCAATACCGCATTTGACGGCGCCAGAGGTTAATGAAAAATTTTTTTTTTTTTTATTCCTTTCATCATTATCAATCATTATTATTTAAAATTATTGGGTTAAATTTTTAGGTTGTCGTCCTGCTTCAGGATTGCGTTTGGAGTTACATGAGAGACAACGTACCCTCACCCGCACTTTTCACGAGAGATTCAAGGACGGGTTTCATGTGGCGAGATCCGAATTTTGAAAAACCCTCGTCACAATACACGGAAACGTTTCGCCTCATATTACAAAATAATATAAAATCATTCGGAGAACTTTATTCGAAATTATTTATAAATTTTTAGGGAATGTAATATATATATATAATTTTTCACACCCTTAAAAACGCGTTTAATTTTTTCCCCAAAAAAAATAATTTAAAAAAAAAAAAACCATCGGTCGTCATTCGTTAATTCGAAAAAAAACAAAACGAAAATGAAAATGAAAAGGAAAAAAAAAATGAACATCTAAATTTTTTTTTTTTTTTTTTTAAATTATTTTATGCCATTTATTGTTTTTTAAAATTTAAAATAACAATGATGGGTTAAAAAAAAAAAAAAAAAAAAATTTAAATCGTTTAAATAAATAATTTTTTTTTTTTTTTTTTTTTTCATTTTCTTTCGATATTTAAAAAAAAAAAGAAAAAAAATTTATAATAATTAAAATTAACAAGTGTGTGCGTGGGAAAATGTAATCGTGAATAAATAACAATGATATTTTATAATTAATTAATAAAAAATTATATTTAAATAATAATTTTTTTCGTACCATCAAATTATCATCAAAAAAATTAAATATCGAAGAAAATGAAAATAATTTTTAAAAAAATAAATAACTTGATAGGAAAGAAAGAAAAAACATGGAAACAACGTATTTTAAACAAGGTAATTGAATTAATTATTTATTTAATACATAAAATGATTCAAACAATAACAAACAACAAACGTTTTTGTTTCTCTTTGTTTGTTTGTCTGTTTGTGATTGTTTTATTTTGTATTTTTTCCACTGGACATGTTTTATGACTGTAACACTGGATAAAATATCAAAGAGCAAAACAATAAACAAACAACAAACTTTTCTTGTTTGTTTGTTTGTTTGTGATTGTTTTATCTTGTATTTATATGATTTTAAGACTGGAAAAAGCAAGAAAATAACAAGTTTAATTATTTATGGTTGTCAATGAATATCAAAGAATTTAGTACACAACAGATTTTTTTTTTTTTTTTTTTTTTTTGGGGGGGGGGGTCTCACAACAAAAGTTTATAATAAAATAATCTGAATGATATTTTTTTTTTTTTTTTCAGAGTACTTCAAAAAATTTATAAAGAAATTTATTTATATATCAGGTACATGAAAATAAATAATAATTAAATGACAAATTAAAAAAATTTCAAGCATTTCAAGTTTAATGAATGTCACTTGAAGAGAAAATTAGTAACGAACTAAAAGTGACATATTTATTTTTTAAAAAAAAACTAAAAAAAAAAAAAACACGATGTTATTATTATTTAATAATTAATTAATTAATTAATTAATTTTGGAAAAAGTAAATAATCCCAAAGAAGAAGAAAAAGGAAAAGAATAAGAAGGTTAAAAAGATAATTAATTGAAGTACTTTTAATATCATATCATTATCGAATTTTTTTTTTCTTTTTTTTTTTTTTTTTTAATTTACACCGTTTAAAAGGTTTTTTTCAACGGAAAATAAAACAAAATAAACTTACCGAAAATCGAATTTTAAATATAAAAACAAAAATTTTTCCAACAATTCATAATAATCCATTTAAAATTTAAATAAATATGATAATAAAATTTTCTTATTACGTATTTTCAACGACATTTTTCTGCAATAAAAAAAAAAATTCCCTCCAATCAGGTTGTCCAACTTTTGTACGAAAAAAAAAATCAGTTATAAATCGTACGTTGAGAAGTTAACAACAACAAAATGGTGGAAATTTTTTTTTTCAATTTATTTTTTCACTTTTAAAATTATTTTTTTTCCCGGTTAATTAATATTAATTTAATTAATTAATTTATTTATTTATTTATTTGTGCGTCATAATTTGTATTTACGCGTTTTTAGAGTTAATTAAAAGTGTTTGAAATTATTATTTGGACTTCGTGTGTGTGTGTGATGACAACTTGCGGTAAGTCTCATATTATTTCTAATTATTTTTTTTTAACTTAAATTTTAATAATTTTTTCGTTCTTATTTAATATTTCCCACCGCCCCCTACCCCCCACCCTACGTAAAATAATTAATTTGAAGTTAAATTAAAACCGATGTGAAAATTTAATAACTTTACCCCCCCCCCCCCGAAAAAAAAAAAAAAGTTAATTTTAATTATGAATTTTTTCTTTTTTTAAAATAATTTCTCATTATTATTATTATTATTATTAATTTTCATGACTAAAATTCAAAAAGAAAGAAAAAGAAACGATTACTCAAATAATTTTTTTTTATTATTTTTAATAAATTAAATAATTAATTACAAAATATTAATTAATAATTTTTAGGCCATAACTTTCTTCTTATTCTTCTTCTTCTATTATTATCATTATTATTTGTCCAAAAAAAAAAAAATTTTATCCCTTTTTTTAGGTTTTTTTTTAAGTAACTTTATTAAATACAGATTGTGGTACAAAATTAATACAAATCATTTTTTTAATTAATTAATTAATTAAATTAATTTTTAATAATTTTTTAAACAAATTATTTTATTTAAAAACAAAAAAAAAAAAAAAACAAAGAATTAGAATTAGTACGGAAAATTACTGTAATTTTTTTTTCTAAAATTTTTTTTTCAAACTTTTGGAATGCGTTTTAACTGTTTTGAACCAAATTTTTTGTTTTGTTTTGGTAGAAAAATCTAAGTTTTAAAACAAAATTGAAAAGTTTTGAAACAAAATTGAGCGTTACGCGAAAAAGTAAATAAATTATTTTTATTTTTACGAGTCTCTAATAGAAATCACACTTGAATAGAAAAAATCATTATTATTACCCGATATACATTAAAAAAAAAAAAAAAAAAAAGCAATCTTTAAATTTAACTACATAAATTCTCGATTACTTTTACTTTCATTCAAAAAGTTCATTTCTCAGTCTGTTTACAAAACCAATTAACAATAACTAAAATTAATTCAGTCTTTTTAAAGCTCGTCTTTAAGGTCTTCGTCATCTCCGCCACCTTGAGGAGGTACACCTCCCGTACTCGAATATAATTTAGCTATTATAGGTTTGGTTACATCTTCCAATTCTTTCTTCTGTTTCTTGTACTCGTCCACGTCCGCATCCGGATTTTGTTCCAACCATTTTATCTTTTCATCGATCGCTTCTTCCATTTTCGCCTTGTCATCGTCGCTGAGTTTGGCACCCAGTTTTTCCTTGTCTCCCAATTGATTTTTAAGAGAATAAGCGTACGACTCGAGTTCGTTTCTCGAATCGACTTTTTCCTTCAGTTTTTTATCTTCGTCTGCAAATTTTTCCGCGTCTTTGATCATTCTTTCAATGTCGTCGGGAGTCAATCTGTTTTGATCGTTCGTGATGACGATTTTTTCCTTGTTTCCCGTTCCCTTGTCTTCTGCCGACACTTGAAGAATTCCGTTGGCATCGATTTCGAATGTGACTTCAATCTGTGGAACTCCTCGCGGTGCCGGCGGTATGCCCGTCAAATCGAATTTTCCCAAAAGGTGATTGTCCTTCGTCATGGAACGTTCTCCTTCGTACACTTGTATGGTAACGGTGTGTTGATTATCCGATGCGGTTGAGAAAATTTGAGATTTCTTCGTAGGGATAACCGTGTTTCTCGGTATAAGTTTTGTCATGACTCCGCCGATCGTTTCGATACCCATCGTGAGAGGATTTACATCCAAAAGAACGATACCATCCGTGTCTTGTTCTCCGGTCAAAACGCCGGCTTGAACGGCTGCACCGTACGCGACAGCCTCATCCGGATTGATTCCTCTGCTTGGTTCTTTTCCCCCGAAGAAATCTTTGACCAATTGTTGAATTTTCGGAATTCTAGTACTTCCGCCGACCAAAACAATTTCATCGACGTCCTTTTTATTCATGTCGGCATCTTCCAAAACTTTTTGAACGGGGTTCATGGTCGAACGGAAAAGATCCATGTTCAATTCTTCGAATTTGGCTCTGGTAAGAGTTTCCGAAAAATCATCTCCGTCAAAGAAACTTTCAATTTCGATTCTGACTTGATGACTCGAGGACAATGCTCTCTTAGCTTTTTCCACTTCTCGTCTCAATTTCTGAACTGCTCTGTTATCCTTCCTTATATCTTTACCCTTCTTCTTTTTGTACAATTTTATAAAGTGATCCATAACTCTTTGATCGAAATCTTCTCCACCCAAGTGAGTGTCACCATTGGTGGATACTACTTCAAAAACGCCATTTTCAATTGTCAATAGTGATACGTCGAAAGTACCACCTCCCAAATCGAATACCAATACGTTCTTTTCTCCCTCACGCTTATCTAAACCGTAAGCAATGGCAGCAGCTGTAGGTTCGTTTATGATTCTCATAACTACCAAACCTGAAATGGTTCCTGCATCTTTGGTAGCTTGACGCTGAGCATCATTGAAATAAGCTGGAACTGTAACTACGGCATGTGTTACTTTCTTTCCTAAATATGCCTCAGCTGTTTCTTTCATTTTTCCTAAAACCATGGCTGAAATTTCTTCCGGAGCAAACAATTTGGTTCCCTGAGATGTTGACACTTCAATGTGTGGTTTACTATTTTTCTCTTTAACCTACAATAAGATACATGCAATGTATATTTTGATAAGACAAACAATTTAATGATGAATTGTAATACTCTTTAATTAATTTTATAATAAATTAAAACTATTCTGGAATGAGTTAGGTACATAAAAATTTTTTTTTTTTTACTAACCTTGAATGGAAAATATTTGATATCATGTTGAACAGCTGAATCGGTCCATTCTCTACCTATTAACCGTTTGGCATCGAAAATTGTGTTTTCAGGATTAGTTGTAAGTTGATTCTTGGCAGCATCACCAATCAATCTCTCTCCTTCTGCAGTAAAAGCTACATAAGATGGTGTGATTCTGTTACCTTGATCATTAGCAATTATTTCTACCCTTCCATTTTTATATACACCAACACTGAAAAATTTAAAAAACTCAATTATAAGTACTCTTGATGATATTGCAACAGAAATATGGTTTGAACCATATAACCTTAATTTAGTACAATTATTTTAAATAGAAATAATGAATTGAACTTATGTACAAATTAAATTTGAATTAAATAAAGATTACAAAATAAAACGTAAAAGCTAAGAAAAGATAAATTACTAACCATGAGTACGTTGTACCTAAGTCAATACCAATAACGGTTCCGACATCAGGATTTTTATCTTCTTTTGCTGCACAAAGTGCAACAAAAACAAATAAATTAAAAAAAAGAAGCAAAAGTTGTCTCATTGCAATAACTAAATTAGAACCTCCAGGGTTTTATATTGTAAATTTTTAACGCCCGGCAAACCTATGATGTGGCAATAATCAAAATTTTTTAGATAGATATTGAATGTACAATATATATATATAATTCAAGTCTTGAAATAAATTTTCTTATATTAACTAATAAATGTTTTCTTTTTTTTTTAAACAAATACCGCACATTAATTAAAAAAATATTATCACGATAAATTCATAGACTTACTTAATTAATACTAATACCTTTTGAACTTGGTTTTAACTAAACTTGAAACGTTTATTTCTTAAAGGAAAAAACAGTGATTCGTGTCTTTCATCGATTGGTTCTAAATTTAATGACGTGGTTCAACCTAATATTTGATTGGTCGATTTTAATGATTTGGATCATTCTGATTGGTCGAAATTTTTACATAAGAATACTTTTAGAAATAACTTTTTTTTTTTGGCGGCGGCATTGAATCAGAATTCCACGTAAATTTTGAAATTTTTTTTAAGCTTTTAAAAAATTACGTGAAATTACGAAAGGATTCTCTTTTTTTTAAATGAATGAATGAGTACAAAAATAATTAAATTTCTGTAAAAAAAAGCTTCACTTAAGACTTATTAATGTTAAAATTTGCGTTTTTATAAATGGTTCAATGTACGTTTAGGTATGACGTATTTCTTATTTTTTAAACTTGAAATGTACCGTTAAACAATTGTTGTTTCTTGTAACATTTTTTTTCTTTAAAGTACACAAATGAAAAATTTCTTCCCTAACCTATGTATATTTGGGAGAGTTAAAAAAAAAAAAACCAAAATGCAACTTTGATTCTACTAATATCATGTTTATTGTTAAAATGAATTGACTAATTATTATTAGCCTAACATTCATTTTTTTTTTTTTTTACATAATAATGACCAATACTAATTAAATTAAACTAAAATATAACTAATTATGTGATAATATGCAAGTATTAACTTTCTTCTACTTTAATAAGTTATTATTTTCTTATGTGAATAAATTATGTTTATTGAAAAACTGATGTAAAAATGCTTTTGATTTATCAATTAAGAAATTTATTTTAACAAATTTTTTTTATTTATTATCATCATCACGGAATCATCCATTTTATCTTTTATAACTTATTAATTTATTTATTTATTTAAAAAAAAAAAAATGATATTAAATTTCCTTTAGGGGTTTTTTAACGGTTTTAACGTCTGGCCTTATTTTAATATTTCCTTGAGATTTTCCCTTGATAAATAAATAACATTATTAATTGTTTCAATAACTTTATATTAAATGTGTTTAATATCAAATGAAATTTACAAATTCTAACATTATTAAACTTTTAATTAAAATCAAAGTTCATGAAAAGTTGCATCATTGTTAAAAAAAATTACTCTACTTTTATTTTTTAAAAAAAAATTGTTTAACTAAGCATTTTAAAAACAATGAATTATTCTAAAAGTAAAGTAGAACGTGAAATGTCATTACAATTAATTTTAATATAACTTCCCTGTTTTTTACAATTTTTATTTATAACAATAATTATTTGATGCTAAACAAAATTATTTTCCATTCAAAAAATTTTATGTCAATATAACTGCATGGATGTCAAACAAGGGTTAATTTTCTAATAAATTTGAATTTAAATTGTTTATAACTTTAAATTTAATATTTAATTTTACATAAACAATTTAAATTTACATCAAAACAATAATTTTTTTTTTTTTTTAACACTTAAAATAAATGAAAAGAAATGAAAGGAAAAAAATTATTAATAATTATAATTTAGATAGAAGAATAATTATCTTGGGTTTTTTATGCGTAAAGTTTCAAAACAAAATTTTTTTCTCTCTCTTCTGTTTCAAAACAATTAACTATCCATCATGTACACCTGCACAACTTTATAATTTGTTTACATTATTTTCTTAAAGTTAAAAATAAAATGTTTCGTAAATATATATTTAGTAAAAACGCGACGAAAAATATTAATAAATTTTTATCTACTTTTCCCGAAAAAAAAATCCAAGAGAATCGTTCACAAATATTAGGTAATAATTATATTAAAGAAAATGCAAAAGTTTATGCACTACTCATTTATTTATGTACATAATATACATAATTCTTTTTTAATAATTATCATATTAATTATAATTAATCAATTTACTTTTTTTAACGACTTTTTTATAAAACTTCTATTATGTGTTGATTAATTAACGATTTTTTCTAATATTTATATATTCTTTTTTTTTTTTTTTTAAAATTATTCTAGGAGGTGAAGATGTTGAGGTTATTAATGAAAATCATCCCGATTTATTCAATGTTCAAAATATGTTTACAATAAAAGATTTATTTAATGCCAGAGTACATTATGGACATAAAATAAGTTCACTTAATGATAATATGAAACAATATTTGTTTGGATCACGTTTAGGACATCTCATATTCGATTTGGATATCACATCTCAGCATTTACAAAAAGCATTAAATTTTACAGCTCATGTCGCTTATCAAAATGGAATTATATTATTTATATCTAAAAATCCTAGATTTACATTAGTCGTTGAAAAAACAGCTGTCGCATGTCAAGAATATGCAGTGACGAGAGAATGGAATGCTTTTACCTTTACAGGAAGTTATAGAGTTTTTGAAAATTATATAAGATTGCCAGATTTGTGTATTTTTTTAAACACATTACAAGAAAATTGCGAACAACATCCGGCAGTTAAAGATGCTGCTAAAATGTGTATCCCAACAATAGCCATAACAGATACAAATTGTGATCCTAATTTAATTACTTTTCCAGTACCTGGAAATGATGATTCAATAGAATCAATAAATCTTTATTGTAAATTATTTAAAAATGCAATATTAGCTGGGAAAAATGCAAGGAAAAAAAAATTGAGTAATAATAAAAATAAAGGAATCCCCATTACTGATAAGTTAAACATAGATTGAAAGAATTTTTGTTAAAGGAAATGCAGTAGGTTTGATAAACTATTAGACGAACGAGATTTTATTTATTGTGTATCTATAAGATGGATATCGATTTGAATGATTAAACAAGATAAGTGTTCTGATTTCAAATGAGTTTTTATTATATTGAAAAAAGTGACATTAAATAGACATTAATATAAAAATAATAAAAAAATATAAAATATAAAACTTTTGCATTTATTTAATCTATGATTGTACGCTAACAGTCAGTTTGGAATCTCTCAATTTTTGAAATTGTCTCGGTCCTATAATTTTAGATATTTGTTTCGATATGTTAGGAAAATAAACCAAAGCATAAACGAATAACATCAGTGGAAATCTTCCCATCCATGCTTCATCCAGTTTATTAACAATTGCTATAAGGCTAAGCTCTGCACATCTTTCAGGAGTCATTCTTTTATCATTTTTATCCACAGATTCTCCATATTTCTAAAAAAAACAATATAAATGTAGTTTTCTATGGAAAATTTCATGAATTCTAACATGATTTTCTTACTTCTCCAGGATTTTCAGTGAAGCTTTCCTGTAAAAAATTACTAAAAACAGGTCCCGGACATAATAATGTTATTTGTAATGGAGTTCCTAATTTTTCATTTCTAAGCGATTCAAAATATCCCTGAAAGTTTAAGAAAATCGTTTCAAGTTTTACTTTTTTTTTCAAATTGAATGATTCTCTTGATATTTACATGAATAGCATGTTTGCTTCCAGTGTAGGAACAAGAATATGGAGCTCCGACAATTCCAGCCAAACTCGATGTGACAGCAATTTGTCCAGTTTTATTCTTATTAAAATATTGTATGGCCAATCTTGAGAGCGATATGACACCGAAAACATTCAAATCGAAAACTTGACGATCAACTTCGACATCCACATTTTCCCAAATTGCTCTTTGCGACCTTCCAGCATTATTAATCAAAATATCAAGCTGTAATTAAATTCAATATTAAAAACTGTACAAACGATAAGAATTTTAGTAAACCTCCATACTGACTTTTTTAAATTGATTAATGACTAAATCGAAATATGTTTTGTGCAAATTTGTTTTAGTTATATCTAAGGGGAGTATTAATATGTCATCGGGAGATAATTCCGGATTGATTTGTAAACATTTATTTTTAACTCTTTGCAATTCTCCTTCTCTTCTCGCTGATATAACAAGTTTAACTTTATATTTAGCCGCTTGACAAGCTAAAGCTTCACCTATTCCACTTGATGCTCCTGTTATCCATATTACTTTACCATTAAGCTCACCTATTATAAAAATGTTTTTTTAGTCAACATTTAATTGACAAAAAAAAAGAAAAAAATTATTTATTTATCTCACCAAGTTTTTTTCCAAATTTTTCAGCAATAACAAGCCTAACATCGCTATCTACTAAACAAAGTGTAAATAAATAAAATAAATAATAAATAATAAGTATAATTCCAATTATTGTAAAGAAAGCCATTTAAAAATCGTTTTTTTTTTCTTATGTAATTATCGGTGATTGATTTCGCATATATTTTTTTAAAAAGTGAATCACATTTTTTTTTTTTTTTAAATAAGTAATAACTAAAGTTTATTATTTAATAATAATAAAACTTATTAAAATAATTTTATTTATGATTGAATTTACTAACGGTACAAACAGCAACGTCATCTACGTAAACCACAAACACGAATAATGATATTTAATAACCAATAGTATTATTATTATTATTATTTCATTATGTATTAATGGCCATAATTAAATTTATATTAACGTCTTCGATTTAGGGTTAATAAATTTTTTTTTGTTTCTTATATTATCAGTATTGATTTTTTCGTTTAACTGATAAATAAACTTATTCCATAAATAAATTATGCAGATAAAATAATTTATTATTAACCAATAATTTTTCCCACCCCCCCCCCCATTTTGTTTTTTTGTTTCCATTAATTAATTATTTTAGGATAAATAAATAAAAACTTGACAATTATTAAAATATTTCCTTTTTATTAAAAAACATTTTCTCATGGTTTTAAGGTACTAATAATAATAATAATAATAATATTTATTTAATACATATTGTTATGAATTTAACTTAACTTGTCATCAATCATGAATTAGATAAGTTTGATTCTAATAAAATAATAGCATTTTTTTCTTCTATTTGTTCCAATGGAATTAATATACCATCTTCATCATCTCTGTACCCATAATAATCAGCATCGATATCTTTCATTAATTCAGCTCTCGTTTTTTTCGGAGGAGGCGGTGGCTCTTGTTCGAATAATTCTCTGACTCCGGGTAAATCTTTGGCAGCTCCAAAATATTTATAACCTCTATTTCCAGGTACTTCTTTTCCTTCGTGATCTAACATTCTGGGACCTATCCTTCCATAATCGGGACCTCCTAATGCTCTTATCTGTATCTCCCAATGTCCTTTTTCTCTGAGTAATTTATTGATTTCATCATTCAAGTCTCTTATTCGAAACTCACCCAATCCGGCATTTTGAATTTGTGCTACCTTTTTAGCTACTTCTCTGAGTATTTGCATTCTCCATTTTTCAGCTTGTGGTAAATCTTTGCATTCCGATGCTAGATAAGGTCTCCTCTCTTTAGCCGATTCATTTAATTGTGCTGCTCTCCATCTGGCTAATGTAGTCATTGCTTTTTCTGCGTTTCTCGCCATTTTTTACTACTGTTTTCTTCAAATGACAGGAAAAATTATTGCAAACAAAAAGTTTATTTTAACAACTACCTTGTTTCTTTAAATTGGAAATCTTTATTGTTTAAAATAGTATTTCTACTATTATAAATATTTTAATGTTATGTACGAAATGTTAAACATTATATTTTCAATATATATTTCCTTTCAATGTATAATTAATTAATAATAATATTTAATAAATTTTAAAAATAAATAAATAACCGGTCACTTACTCACTTAAAAATGTTTAAATTTTACATTTTACTACCAACATTATAAAATAAATAACACTCCAAGTGTATTTTTATTTACAAAATCATATATTTCTCTTGTATATATTTATGTATTATATATATATACATAAATTTTAATAATAATAATAATATTTATCAAGATCTCTCTATGTTGAAAAAACATTCAGAGTAATGATTATACAAATTTCGTGATTTGATTTGTCATAACGTATTTATCAAACAATAAACAATTTTTTTTTTTTACGTTATAATAAATTATTATTAAATGATATAATTTTAATTAATAATTAAACTACTTGTAACAACCGAGTATACATATTTATATTGTTTTTATGAATTGTTAATTCTTGTTTAAAAAAAAAAAAATTTTCAATTCGAAATGTTTTGTGTACGGTTACACCCTTAATTAAAAGGGTCAAATCATAAAAATATATACACACACACTTTTTTGTTGTTTATTAATAATTACAATAATTTATAAATTAAGGTTATCTATACTAAAGGACTTTTTATCATAGTGTGAGTCAGTGTTAAAAAAATTCAAAATGGCTTGTAATCGTTGATAGTGTACGAAATTATTATTGTTTTCTACGGTTAAAAAAAAATGTTTGATGTCAATAACGAAAACGGTTATGTACTATGTAAAAAATATTGTATACCGGAAGAAATATTAGCATTAATTTTAAGTCATGTGCCAGCGAAAAAACTTGTTTTCGACTGTCGAAGAATTTGTAAATATTGGTGCAATGTCATTGATTCCCTAGTTTGGAGAATAAAATTAAAAAGAATGAAAATACCACCGAATAAAGTTGTTGAATTGCCTTGGTATAATTGTTTTTGGATTGTCATTAAAACCCCTTTAGATAGAAATTTAGTTAAAAATAACTGTGGCCAAGGTAATGTTAATAATTTGTTCAAACGATGATGATCCCTGAATGAAAATTTATTAAATAAAAATTTTTTTCAGAGGGACTTAAATATTGGAAAATTTTAAGTTCTGGTGGAGATGGTTGGGCGATTGAAAAACCTCCTGTCGGATGTGAAGATTTTCCCAAAAGCGAAGAAGTTTATTTAAATAAATGTTCTATTTTAAATCATAAATCATGTTTTGCAACATCGTATTATTCTTGTACGAAAATGCAAATAATCGATCTTAAAAAAGAAGGTGCTTGTTCGGAACTATTGGATAAATTAAAGCCTCAAATAACTATAAATGATTGGTTTGTCGATTTCTATTAATCAGGCGCAACATTTTTAAAAAAATTTATTACCAACTGTAAAATTATTTTAATTTCTAGGTGCTGTGGTAGGTTCGATTGTAATAGTATTTACGAATTGAAAGTAAAACTTGTTAATGACAAATTTGAAACTGTTGCCGATTTTGAAGTTAGAAAAAATTTAGGATTAGCAGATGGATCACAGTGGCAAAGGGTAATAATTATCTACCATACTTTAAGTTTGATATCGAAAACAAATTTTTTGTAATGAGTGATAAATGTTTTGTGTAGAGTAATCTGAAAACTTAATAAATTAAACCCATTTTGTATAAAATACATAAACATTAATAATGTCAACATAAAAATTGTTGCAGATATCGCATACGTTTATCGATTATGGTTCGGGAGTTAAATTTATCGAATTCTACCATGGTGGTATGGATTCACAATTTTGGAAAGGTCATTATGGAAGTAAAATGACTGGAGCCTTAGTTACCCTTTCGTTTAAATGACACACACACACAAATATTTACTTATATTATAATTTGATAATAAAAAATGCATAATTTTTTTTTTTTTTTTTTTTTTTTGTTATCTTAACATAATTCGACAATGGCAATTATTTTATATCATACTTAATTGTTTTTTTTTAATTTTACAATATATACGATTTTAAGTTAATCATATGATGGATATCATATTACAATGCCTAATAATCATTTTCAATTAGTTAACCTCATCGAAATGAATAATAATTAATAATTTTTTGTTAAAACCGATTTCAATTTAACATATCATTTATATATTGTTATTTTCAAATTTATTATTAAATTTTGCTTCATTGTTGTTATTCTTTTAACTATCTGTATGATAATTTTTTTTTAATGAACAAATCGAATTAGACTGTGATAAAAAAAAAAAAAAATTTTAATTGTGATTCGATAAAGATAAAATAAAATAATAATATGTAATTATCGTGTAAATTATTTTATTGTTAAACAAAATTGTTATTATTGTTAAATCAGATGAAAATTTTTATGTTTTTTTTTGTTATATTTAAATTATTTAGTCATGAAATGTTTAAAATATTATTTAATTAGGGCTTAAATAAGTGTTTTTTTTATTCGATCAAATTAATTATTGTGGAATTTGTTTTTTAAAAAAAAAAAATTATGCATTGATTTAAAGACAAATATTTACTTAATTATTATTTAAAACTTTTAATTATTATTTAAAATATTAATAATAATTATATAATTAATTGTTTTAACATTCCTTCATTAAAAGACATATTTATAAGAAAGTCATTTGTAAATGAAATGATGATAAATTTTAATCACCCCATTATTGTTAATCAATTATTTAATCATTTTTAAAACGTTAGTCATCTCAATATTTTATTTAATTAATTATAATTATAACGAATATAATAATAATAATAATAATAATAATAATAATAATAAATAAGGACGTTGGAATCAAATTTATCTTTGGGTGGGGTATTAAAATAGTTGTTACATGATGGCCCTGAGATTAACGTTCGTTTTCTTTTTTCTTTTTTTTCTTGTACAAAAAAAATTAATTAATTGTGTGTCATTTAGTAATTTGTTTTAACTTTGGAAAAAAAAAGTAAAAATTTTTTAAGTAAACGTTTGCGACCGTGTTTGATGTAATTCCCGTAATTGATAATAATAACTAAATAATGTTTAAAACTTATATATCATTGAATAATTTCACTTACCGCCATTTTTCCAAAAACCGTTAACGGTTAAATTTTTGAATTTGTGCATTCGGTAAAACAATCATTTGTGATGTTTAAACATTCAATGATAAAAAATTATTCTTATTTATAGAATCACTATAAGTAAAGATTTTAATATTCGAAATTGTTTAAAATTAAAAAAAAAAAATTTTTTTGAAAAATCAATAACGATTTATTCGGTACGAAATAACAAAATTTTAACGGTCATTCGTCGTAACACCTTTTAAAATTTAATTTTAACCGCGAAAGTAAAAAATACATTATTATTATTATTATTATTACTTAACATTTTCTTTTCTTAACATGACCTCAATTGATAAAAAAAAAAAAAAAAAAAACTATTTTATAAAAAACAATTAAAAAAAGAAAGTATTTTGACGTAAATTTTTACGAACATCCGCCATTTTTAATTATTTCTAACTTTCAAATATGTGTCACGCTCTTATTAAGCTTATTAACGTTTTTTAACAACCTTAAAAAAAAAAAAATTAAGGTTGGCAATGGGTAAACGAAAAAAAAGATAAACAAAACAATTTTTTAAACACATTTTATAATTTATATATTTTTATTTTAGGAATATTTTTTTTTTTTTACTTCTTTTTTTTCTATTTTTTTTTTTTTTAAACATTCAAACTACATTTTTTTTTTTTTTAAAACTTAATCTTAAAATAAAACATGTCTGTACACATATAAATAATAATGACCGTGATACATTTATTATGTTTTACATTAATGATACATCAGACTTAATTACAATCCAACCGATACATTATTTATAATAAACATTTTTTCTTAAATAATGACGGTAAAAATCGTTTTGTTAATTATATTTATATTAGCATGAAGAGGAGGGGAGGGGAAGGAGGGGGGGAAACAAAAAAAAAATTTTTCTTAACGATTTCAAAATAACTCGAGTTAGGTGAATGTACATTGATTGGCCATTTTTTTTTTTTTTTTTTCCTTGGATCAATCTTAATGACATTAAATTTTTTTTTTTTTTTGTTTCAGATAAAGTGTGGAATTTATATTACAATATTGTGTAAGTATTATTTTAATACATTTATTTATATATATATATCGAAAAATATTTTGTACTTTCTAAATAAAAATTTAGTTAATGGCAATTTTTATAAATGCAAATTAAAAAAAATTAAAAGCACACACCAATATGGAAGACAAAGAGAAGGTTTTTTTTTTTTTTTTTTTTTGTCTTAAAGTTTAAAAACAAAAGAAAAATTAGCCAAATTAATTACTAAAAATTTACAAAAAAAAAACTGCCTTCATTTTTTTTTTAAATTAAAATGAAAAACTACAACACTACACTACATTACACTACGCACTACACTCAGAGAGATTTACAACATGAATCAAACTAATAAATACTTTTTCACTTTTTTTTTTTTTCTATTTGTTTGTTTTAAATACAATTATCATCACACACGACAATATATAAGTAATTTTACATCAATCAATCAATCAATCAATCATTCTCACAGGTAACTAATTAAATAATTTTATCATCATAATAATAATTATTATCAAATCCAAATTTCTAACGGTTGTGCTTGTTAGATTTTAATTTTAAAAAATCAATCAATTTATTTACTCATTATTATTATTATTTAGGAGCTTTTTTAAAATAAAATTGGGAATCATATACGTAGATCCCCGGGGGTAACTGAACCGCTATAAAGGGAGGTCGACGGGAAAATTTTCCGGCAACAAAATGGCGCCAACCCCTCTACCTCCGAGACTAGGCCGAATCAGGCACTACCTAACAATCACTGCGACCTTCAAAGGTTGCTATAATATTCTTGTCAGAAAGAATTCTTTCCTTAAAAAAAAAAAAAAAATATCATTTAAGTTGTTTTTTTTTTCTTTTCAAAATTAAAATCATGGCCTGAAGCAAAAAAAAAAAAAAAAAAAAATTGAAAGGGAAATCTTTCTGACAAAAATTAATTAAAACAAAAAAAAAAAAAAAAAAGACACAAATTTAGAGGAACAAACTATTTCATTTTATTTTATTCATAATAATAATAATAATAATAATAATAATAATCATTTATTTATTTTATTCCTCTTCTTTCAAAATATTTTTTCTTTCTTATTTTTAAATCAGTCAAATTACAAAATTAAAAAATAAAATAAAATAAAATAAAATAAAAAATAAAAATAAAACTCGCAATTTTTTAAAAAAAAAAAAAAATTCATCATTTCATCATTTCGTGTTTAAAAAAAACATCGTCAGTAAAATTAGTTACACTTTCTTTTGTTTCCCTCTTTTTCCTCCCCTCGCCCCTCCCCTCCACCGCGTGTTTTCATCCTTAACGGTTTTTTTTAAATATTGCGACAAAATTTTCACGTTAGACACGACGGAGGGGAAATTGGAGGGGGAAAAAAAAACGTGTAACTAAATTTATAAATACCCAAACATTCGAAATTAATAATTTTTTTTTATTATTTACTCTATGACTTTTTTTTCTCTCTTTTAACATCTTCTAATTCCGATTCTTCTTATAGTTCATATGAAAATAAATTAAATAGAAAACAATTTTTTTTACAAATTAAAGCTCCTCCGTTCTTCATTTTGGTTTATATTTTTATAAAATAATATTCTCACATATTATGATAAATATTTCGTTTTTTTTTTTTTTTTCTTTTTAACGATAGAAAACTACAATCATTTGAAAGACTAGAATTTGCAATAATAATAATAATAATAATAATAATAATAATAATTCGCTTTTTGCGATATTTCGAGTTTTTTTCTCTTTGTAATATAGGTATTTGAAATTACACGCTACACCCGGTCGTTACTTCTTCGTTCGGTTGCGGCGTCCACCTGCACTGATGACACGGTTTACACTCGCCATCATCTCCATTACTCGAATTAAGCCTGAGTCCTTGTTCGAGTTCCAAAAGTTGTCCCATGAAATTCAAATTGGGACTGATTATCGGACGAGCCGATTTGACAACTTTGTACGCTTCGACCATTGATAAAAGCCTGTGTTTCATTACGTATGCAATGGTTATGGTGGCCGAACGAGAAATACCCGCTTGGCAATGGACTAGAACGTTCGCTCCGTGTTTCCTCGCTTCCTCTGAAATATAAATAACATCACATTCGTGAACGAATTAAAGAAAATATTGGGGAGGGGGGGGCGAAAGAGTTAAGGGTGTTTTTTTTTTTTTTTAAGGGAAGAAATAATAATAATAATAAACACGTTTGGTGCGTGCATCGGAATCTGCTTTTTTTTTTTTTTTTTTTTTTTTTCCGAGATTATATTGAGGTCGTTCGATTGAATCGAGTCGTCGACAAGATGCGTAAGATGAATGATGAAACTTTAGTAAAACATACGGTTGTTAAAATCATTTTATATTACGTTTGATTGCCTTGACACCTTCCCCCGGATTCCAAAAAAAATTGAATTTCACATGAGCTAAACAAGAGGAAAAATAATCAACTTTGATTTTTGGGAGGGGGGTGAGTCACCGTGGAAGAACGCGAGAGGAATAAGTGTGTGTGTGTGTGAGAGAGTGAGAGAGAGAGAGAGAAAAGCCTGATATGGCTTCAGTGTGGCTCAAAACGTGTGTGCCCCCAAACGCAGCCAGGCTGCCAACAACAAAACACAGTCTCGATATAAAAATAAATCGATTTGTGTTCGTCGACTTCACCGCCTTCCGGGATGATTCATAACCGAACGCTCGAAAGGATTTTTTTTTTTTTTTTTTTTATGGGGCGACCTTTTAATTTTAGATGTTTTATTTTACCGGGGAAAAACCCATCTCGTTTTTTTTTTTTTTTATTTTATTTTGAAAAATAGTTTTGCAGCACGAAAACCTTTTTGCACGTCACAAAAATAGAGTATATAACGTTTGACTAATATTAATACATGACTCATTTCACGACGATTTAAAAGTTCAACGCTGACGAAAATAACGTTTTTTTTTTTTTTTTTAAACCATCGATTGTTTAATTCCCTTTTGCCCGAACAAAAAAATTTTCACTTTACAATTATTATTATTATTATAGGCTACTTACTACTCGCGTTCCCTCGTTTAAATCATCATCAACAAATTTAAAAACAATAATAATAATAATAATAATAATAATAATAATAATAATAATAATGATAAGAAAAGAATTAAAGACCTGGAAACTATGATTTCGTCACAAGGTGGAAGAACTTGGATTCGCGGTTGCCTTGAGAGAGCACGAAACCTACGACCTTGAATGAGTACATGATTTTATATGACTAATACTTTCCTCAGGTTTTCGCTCTTGACGTTTTTGTTTAATTTTCAACCTGTTTCATCGACGACAACAACAAAGTATTTTTTTCCTTACGGAAAACATATGCGTGCAAAATAAAATAAAGGCACGAAACCTGAAAATTCGAATTTACTTTCGTTTTTCCAATGCCGTGAACAAAAACCAAAAACCTTTTCTCATACAGTCATCATCGCCTCCGAGCCTTTTTTTTTATTATTATTATCATTATTTAAAAATTTACTTCACCCTTTCGAACGATCCCTTCGAATTTAATACGCAAACGAGTGGAGGAAACTGGGTCAAATGTGAACAATACTAAATGAGTCATGCAATCAGAAGACAACAGAAAGAGGAGGATGTGGTGGGAAATGGTAATGGTTCGAAGAAGCTCCCATTATATATGTTTAAAAGAGGGAGAGGGGGGAGAAATAGGGAAAAAAAGGTGAAAAGTTTTAAAGGAGGGAGACAAAAAAAAATCTGCTTTGACCCTAAGAGAGGGTCGAGATACACTTGAAAAGAATAGACGAGAACGTTGGTAGAGAAAAAAGATGGAGAGGGAAACCGTCAATGAATGAATCATTTGGTGGGATTGTAAATAAAAGCAATGAGGACAAAATTAATTTGAGGGACATAATACAACAACAACAACAACAGCAGCAGCAGCAGCAGAAGAGGAGGAGGAACACTCTCTCTCTCTCTCTCTCTCTCTCTCTAGCTCTTTAAACGATTATTTTATCAACTTCTTTATTTACAATTACGAGTAATCCATTTAAGAAGAATGAAAACATTTGAAACTCAATTTTTACCTTGACGTCGTAAAAAAAAAAAAAAAAAAAAAAAAAAATCCAAATTCGAAAATGGCGATAGCACTCGCACACACGCACACGCACACTCAATTGCAGAAGGCCAATGACTCATTTTAAAGACGAACAATTCACGATGAATAGATTTATACGTTGCAGAATCATTTTGATTGACTTCCCCCTCCCCTCCCCTCCCCCCTTTTTTAACAACAACAATATCTTTAAAAAGTAAAAAAAAAAAAAAAAACCCTCCGCAGAATAAATTTTTATATCTAAGGGTTGTTTTACGATGACTAATTATCAAGGGCATCCGAGAGCAGCAGATGGGGCTGAAAAGAATTACGTCATACCGACTATTGGAGAAGACATATTATTCATGAATGATTAACGATCACCATCACCACCACCACCACCACCATCACCATCACCATCAGACATCATAATGCGACATCGATAATTGCCAACACACACACACACAAAACATCTTTTGATTCCGTTATTAACGTTCGGGGAACTCGGGAGCCAAAATCCCAGACTTTTGACCAAATTTTACAAATCGAAGTACGAAAAAAAAAAAAAAAGACAACAAACAGACGCGGAAGAATTTAAAAAAAAAGAATAAACAAACAGAAGACAGCTACAAACAGACATATAAATATTTGTGACAATATATGTTGGCACTCCTGCTATTCAAACACACATCATACACATCATACACACATTTTGGAACTCGAATCAAATAGTTCAGGGGCATAATCATCATCATCATCATCATCAACATTTTCGCAAATATTAACTAAAATAAAAATTTTTCACCGGGCAAGTCATCGTTTCGAAAACAAACACAAACAAACAAGAAGACATTTTTAAACAAACAAAAATACAAATCTAAAAATACGAAAAAAAAAAAAAACGGTTTTTTTTTTGGGGGGGTGAATTCCATTTCGATTAGAAACTACATATTTCTTTGTTCGTTTCGTCATTTCTTTTACTACCGCAGCATCGTTATTTCTAAGAAAGCGTAATAGTAAAGACCTTTCGTCAATAAAATAATAATAATAATAATAATAATAGAAACTCACCGATGAAATCGAAAGCTTCTTCGAAATATTGTTTCAAATTTTGTTGACCCGAATCCGAAGCCGGCAATTTCCTGTAGGATATCCCCTCGGCCTCGTGATAACCGGGAAGATCCGAGGTAACGTTTAAAACGCGGGTTACTCCCAACGTTTGCAACAATTGCAAATCCGCTGCATTTTTCTGATTTCCCAAATACAAAAAAGGCAAAACCCTCGACGCGGGTTGATTATCGATGTCCGACGACGAGGCCGAGGGTGGTGAAGAAGGATTTTCCAATGCCGGAGATGATGCTTTCGTCGGCGAGGAAGGTGATGATAAAGTGGATTTTTCGCTCGGTGGCGGCAACAGCGTGTCTTCGCAAAATTCCTTATGCCTTTTGTGAAATTCTTTGTGACCACCTGAAACACAAAAACCGGAAAAATCACTCTCATTGTAAACATTCTGCGCATGCGCGAGAGAGAGAGAAAAAAAAAAACGAACGTGGTTTTAGTTTTGTTGAAACGTACCCCAAACGGGAACGGCGACTAACGTAAGAACAAGACAGGGAGCTTTTCTTTTCATTTTAATCCAACGTTTTTGTTTTGTTTTTAAAGTTAAAGTTTGCAAACTTTTTCTTATCGTTTTTAAAACAATAAAAAAAAAAAATATCCAAACGAGTTTGTAAAACAAAAAATACTAATATCTCAAAAGTAGAAAATATTTTACATGTTTTTTTTTTTTTTTTTTTTTTTTACAAACAAAGAAACCACAACGCGAAAATCTACTTTTTTTCAAAACTCATCGACAACAAACAACAATCGTAAATTAAAAACAAAAAAACTACACGAAACAAACACAACAAACACGATTTGAAAACAAAAACAAAAACAAACACGTTGAGAGAACGTTTTAATATCGTACTGTTGTTCACTACGCAATTTTTTTTTATTTTTTTTTTTATTTTACGGAGGATGATTTTTTCATTGATGATGACACTAACAACAACAACAACAATTCTCAAACCTTCGACCGTACTAATAATAATAATAATAATAATAATAATAAAACGCACATAAAAAAAAAAATTTTCTTTAAACCCGACTGCGTTTTAAAACTGGAGATCAAAAGAGTCTGAATCCTTCGAGGTCCGGACCATTTCTCACCTAGTCAACAAGCCGCTGCTACCACCACCACCACCACAACCAAGCTTAACATTCATCATCGTCATCAATATGGTGGACGACTCAGTCACAAGCTTTTTCTTGTTTGTAAATATGAATCATAATTTTTTTTCATACGATATACGTAAACGTCATCCAAGGTTGACGGGAAATTACTATAAGGTAGAGAGAAAAGTTTTTCTTTTTTTTTCTTGTCCGTTGTTGTTATTACGAGTACGCGAAAAAAAAAAACTAAAATTCTCGGGGAATTTCCTTCTCTTGCGCGAAAATTTAATTACTACGTCTTTTACATAATTACTACGTCTTTCCCATAAATTACGCTAAAACGCAAAAAAGAATACGCCTGTGCGTGCGTGCGTGCGTATAAGACGAATAATAATAAAAAACCGTTCCAATTAAAACGTATTTATAGATTTTTTTTTTTTTAAATATTTATAATCCACTTTTAATAGCCTAAAAAAAAAATTTAAATTTAAATTTAAATTTTTAACGCGTCCTGAAAATTCACGCGCCGTCTGCTTTCGTTTGAAAACTTTCGCGTTTCAAAACAAAATTATTATTATTATTATTATTATTTTATTTATTTTTACCGATCGGTCAACCGAGTGCCAAACAGACACAAACACACGTCAATATTATTATTATTACTTTTTTTTTTTTTTTTTCATACAAATGAAGAATTATTTTAAAAAAACAAAAGTTTATGAAAACGAAACGAAAAACGTTAACGCGATAATTGCGGGCCCTTTTTTTTTTTTTTTTTTTTTTTTTTTTTTTAACATAAATTGAAACGCGAAATATAAAAAGGATAAAAACCGATTTTTTTTTGTTTTTGTTTTTTGTTTTTTTTTTTTAAATATAATTACGATGTTCTAATTATACGCATAAATAATGAAATTCTAAATACGAATATACGAAAATAATGCGGTCATTTTTAATAATAATAATAATAATAATAGTGACACGAAAGAAATATGGCGTGGCGTCTCGTGTCACGTCATTTTCGAACCGACACAAATGTTATAAGAATTTGTAACGTTTTTTTTTTTTTCGTTACGGTCGAAATACAGGTAGTAAATGATATTACAGGTGGACATTTTTTTTTGGAATTCTGACGTTAAAAAAAAAATTTCACGCATTCATCATCATCATCATCATCATCATCATCCGTTCACTCACTCATCGACAAATTTCCCTCGAATTGTTTTTCTATGACGTCACATCACGCATCACGCGCCACATTAAACAACGTTTGACGAACGAACGAACGAACCAACCGTCTTTTTGATTTTTATTTAATAAAACAAAAACCGAACAAACAAACAAACAAACAAACAAACAAACAAACATTCCCCGTTCTATATATATTTCTAGAAAATTTTAAATCGAAATAATACTAATTGTTTTAATAAGAAATCTATTAAAAAAATGATTCATTCGATTTTTTTTTTTTTTTTTTTGAAATCCGAGCTGTTGTTGTTGAGTTTTTGTTTTTTGGTCGAAATATCGAATATTTCTTTCGTTTGTGATGTGCGTGAGTGCGTGTGTGTGTGTGTGTGCGTGCGTGGAAACGAACCCGATTAGAAAATTTTTTAATAATAAACGTACAATAATGAAAACTTGTCGGTTTTCCCCCTAAATAATTGACGACATTTTACCTTAAACAATAAAAGCTACAAACAAACACCTTCTTACTTCGTAGAAGAGAGAGAGAGAGAGAGAGAGAGAGAGAGAAAAAAGGGAAAATTTTAATTGCAATTAAAAAATAACCATTTTCCCGTTTTTTCCCGAAAAAAAGGACAACATCATTTTTTCCGATACCGGATATAAAAATTTAATGAATCACTCGTCGGAGGAATAATTCTTCAAAAATTATTAACGTGTTATTGTCTGGAATGCATTGACTATATCATCGTATTGTATTTGTCCAACTATTGAATCATTATTATTATTAGTCATCGATAATAAACTTAAGAGAAAAAACTTTTCGGGGAACGAAAAATGAAAAATATTCTGGAGTTCTACCACCTCCTCTACCACCACCACCACCACCACCATTACTACTACGTGCTTAAAACCCCTTGGGGATAAAAAAAAAAAAAATGCAGAGTTTGCGGGAATTATTATACACACGAACCCGACAGTAATCCAGTAAGACGTGGAAATGACTCGGCACAATTTATTCATAATAATAATAATAATAATAATAATAATAATAATAATAATAATAATAATAATAATAATAATAATAATAATAATAATAATAATAATAATAATAATAATAATAATAATAATAATAATAATTCCATTCATTCATCGAACCCAAAATATAACGGCTCTTATTATTATTATTATTATTATATTTGACCATTTTGGAAAATTTAGTCTCTTTCAAAAAAAACAATTATTTACATGTAATGAAGTAACAAATTTAAAGTTTCACAATATTATTATCATTATCATTATCATTATTATTATCATTATTATTATTATTATTATTATGTAAACTTTTGTTTGAGTCATGAAAAAAAAATAAAAAAAAAAAAATTAAATTTTAAGTGAATTCTCCCAATAACCTTGATTATATTTATTACCCATATAATATAATATAAAGTTTCATATCACAATCGCGACTACTCCATATTACGTGGGGTGGAGGGGGAGGGGATGTGGTAGAGATCTATCTCGACAGCATCTACTCATATATAAACTATTAACGTTAACTCGTGTCTGGTGTGGTGGCGTCGAGTCGTATCACATTCGTGACTCACGTCAAAAAACGAGGGGGGTTTCGATAAATTGACAAATTGACTTCGACTTCCATTTTTTTTTTTTCGAACGACACATTATCGTACCAAATTTTAAGGGTGAAAAAATCTTTTTTGACATTCATCCGGATTTTCCTTTCGCGAAATATCCCCCCCCCCGGAAAAACCGCACTCGAGTGAATTTTTTTCCCAAATGCACCCCCTCCCCCATACAGATACAAATCCAAAAAAGAAATACTCGACAAAGTGACGTAGACAATCTTTACGAAAACAACACATTCATCAAAACCATATCAGTGAACGTAAAAAAAAAATAATGATGATGATGATGATGATGGCGATGACGATGGTGACGTTGATAATAATAATAATAATGATAAAAACCAGTTAAAGAAAAAAAAAAAAAAACTTTAAAATAATTTCAGTTATTAAAAAATCATTTGAGGGATGATTTAATGGACGAAATCTTTTGAGTTTAAAAAATTTTTACACCCTTTTCGAAATGTTATAATAATTTATAAATTTTTCTAGAGAGAGAGAGAGAGAGAGAGAGAGAGAGGAGGGGAGAAAGAGAGAAAGAGAAAGAGAGAGAGCATGGTCTTATCAATTTGATATACTTGCACATTTGTCAACTTAATAGTTGTATTAAATGAGTCATCATTAGAAAGATTAAGTAAAATTTTTGTCACACAACAACAACAACAACAACCCAAAGACTCTATCATTATCATTATTATTTTACATGATAAACTCGTGTTAAAGGACTTTTTTTAAAAAAAAAAAAAGATTTCATTGCTCGTTTATTTTTTTTTTTTTTTTTGTATTTTAATGCCAGTCATAGATAGATAGTGGTAGTAGTAGTAGTAGTAGTAGTAGTAGGACTACAAATCAATTGTTTTTTAAATTCTTAAACATTTTTAATCGCACGTCTTGCAAATAATAATAATAATAATAATAATTAACGTGAATTGAAAAATTTCATAACTTTCATATCGATTTAAAGTTTTCTTTTTTTTTTTTTTTGATTTACCATGAAACCTTATTAATATATAATGATTGAGAGACCAGAGAAAGAGAGACCAGAGAGAGAGAGAGAGACCAGAGAGAGAGAGATAGAGAGAGACCAGAGAGAGAGAGAGAGAGAGAGAGACCAGAGAGAGAGAGAGAGTCATTCTAACGAAATTATTTCTACGTGAACATTTTCGACTGACTGTACTTTGCACCTACTAAAATAATTTTCATTGCGAAAAAAAATTTGCGTGGCGGGTATTTAAAATTATTTTAAAAATTTATTTATTTATTTATAAAAAAAAAAAAAAACACATATTTACAAGTTAAATAAATAAATAAAAAGCTTTGGACTGTTGGTGTGACGTCGAAAATTCCAGCAAATGAAAAAAATGACACAATGGTGTGTATATGTGTTTGCATGAATCACGTAGGCACCCTCCTCCCTTCACTCACTCACTCACTCACACACTCGCTCACTCAGTTTTTGAAATGACTCAATGTTTTATCACAAAATGTTTTTTCTAGGCAAAGCTTCCAACATAATCAAAGTACACCCGCCGAATATAACTCGTAATCGTAAAAAAAGAGAACAAAAAACAAAAACACAACTAAATTACATGAAAATTAAAGTTTTAACACCGCGGCACTAAATGTTTATTAGTCATTAAAGTGCCAAAATTTGCGATCGTATGGTACATGATGCTTCCACAAGTTTCACCCCCTTGACAAAAACGACTGAGAAGATGGTAAGTCAACCGTCAGCAAACATTAATACAAAAAAGTTGTTAAAAAGGAAAACATTGTGATGACGTCAGTAAGCGTTTAAGAACCCCCCCCCCCAACTCATTTAATTATTATTATTATATCCGGTTGTATGATTCCAGTTAAAAAGAGATAAAAAAAGGACAATGTTATCCATCCGAGGGAAAACAGTTCACGTGAAATAAAATTTTCCCATTTTCCAACACAAGTGATAAGACTTACACACAATGACTCATTGAATGTCTACGATTAATTATTACCGACAAGCCAGTTAGAATAATAATGGCAATGACTTCTTCTTCGAATGGAAATAAAAAAATTGGATTCGATACGATAGCATACCGTTGTGGTGGTCGATGGATAGTTTTAAATAGTTGGTACAAAAAAAAAAAAAAAAACTCACCGAGCAAGAGTGCAGGTTCTCTATTATCCTCCACCAGTATGGTTAAAACGAGAAACAAGGGATGAGACGGAGGTAGTCTATCGACGTCCGAAGTGCAATCATCGTACACGACGACCTCTTTGAAGGCACGTTTTTTCAAAAGGTCTTTTCCCTCTCGCGTTGTCGCCAAATCGGCAAGCGACGCTTTTCCCAATTGAAGACGTCGTCTGTTAAACCGATCCGAACAATTTATATTTATCGACCCTCGAATGTGATTTACGTTGTAGGCGATGAAAGGTCGACAATCGACGACGAGAAAATTTCTCACGTTTTTATTTATCGAATTCTCGTTTTTCTTCAACTTTTTGACCAAACTATCCGGATCCAAGGGTTTGACTCGTTTCATTATTATAGCACGCTGTAGCGTTGCACTTTCCGAACACGGACTTGCGGGCAAGCTCATGGAATCCAATTTGCAACGTTTGGGTATCGTCGGACTCAAAGCCAACTGTACGGAATTGATGTTTAAATCTGGAGGACCCGGTTCGCTGAGACTCCTATTGAGAGCCAATTTAAGGCCTTCCCTTCTAGAGCAACACGTGGACATTGCCAAAAATCGTCAAATTCTGAAACAACAATAAAAATAAAACTCTCCTTTAAATAAACAATTTTTTTGGCAATTTATATTTATTAAATAAAAAAAAAAAAATATTGGCAAATAAAATTTGCATATTTATTATGAATTCAAAAAACACAAAAAAAAAAAAAGATTAAATAATTGGGGGCGGGGGGGCGGGGGATAAAATACAAATTTTTTTTTTTTTTAAAATTTGTATTCGAAAAATAATTTCAAACATACAATTTTAATAAAAATAATGTTTTTATTACCGCGATAAATTAAAAAAAAAAAAAAAAAAAAAATTAAAAATTTTTTAAATAAATCATCATATGGGGATTATATTGCAATTTAAACATTTTTCCCGATTTGCGCGCCAATTTCAAAATTCAACCAATGAGAAAAAAGCGAGGGATTAAACTCACAGCCTTGTAAATTACTCCTCGACAATTTTTAAAATTATTCCAAGTAACTCTACCACTGAGAGAATTTAACCGTCGACAAAGTTTTTTCATTTTAACAATAATAATAATATATATTATAATTATTATATTTTTAAAACAAAAAATAAAAAATAAAATCAAAATGAAATTCGAAATATAACGACGTAACGGACAACTAGATAAAGAAATTAAATAGATAGAGAAAGAGAGAGAGAGAGAGAGAGAGAGAGTAACGTTTAACTTTCACTGAATTTTTAACGAATTAAATTTAAATAATAATAATAATAATAATAATAAACTATAAATTAATGAGAACGTTTTTTTTTAAACTTTCTGATTATGATAAACATCATTAAATCATCAATTTTTTTTTTTTTGAATTCGTTTAACATTTTTTATTTTTAATTTTAGAACCAGACTCGATAAAGCAATTTCGAAAGAGAAAGAGAGAGAGAGAGAGGGGGGGGGAGAGAGAGAGAGAGAAATTCAACGCACGAGTAAAAAATGTTTACCTTTTAATTTTCTTCTTTTTTTATTTATTACATCACATTATTAGTAATCAGAGAATTTTAAGATGAATATTTCTACGCATTAAAAAAAAAAATATTTAATTTTGAAATTATAAAAAAAGATAATAATAATAATAATAGAAAAGAAAGTTTTAATTTAAGAAAGTATTCCCCCCCCCTCGCCCCACAGAAAAATAATAACAAACAACAACAACAACAACATTCGAATACTTGCAACTTTTCAAGGTTTCAATACTTAATTAATCAATTATTGTAAATATGAGTTCAAATGATAATAATAATAATAATAATACAACATAAAGAATAGAATAATGTTTGTTTATTTCTTTCTTTCTTTTTACGTAATAGTAATAAAAATAATAAAAAAAATTACGCGTAATAAATTTGTCTTAGATATATTTATCCTTCCTAAATATTTTTCTTGGGAAAAACTGAAGAAAAATCAAACCAACCAATCAACCATATTTGTGCACCTTGCTTAAAGTTAATTAAACCTGATAGAAATTTTTATTGACCCTTTTTCGAGATACAAAATGAAATGTGAATGTCAAGACACCTCCAAGGTGATTCACTTGGGGAGAGAAGAAATAACTGCTTTTATATCTTTAAAGTCAATTCTGTTTCCTCCTCTATTGTGTATTTACATAAGAAAAACTTGACATATGATCTCGATATTGTTAATAATCAAGAAATGAGTCAAAAAAGATTGTTCAGAACAACCATTCGAATAAATTAGAGAAAAATTGCCATATTTCTTTTTCTTCTTCTTCTTTTATTTTGTACTTCCAAGAGTCCAGTTAATACAAACATAATGTTTTGTTATGTAAGTTGTTTAAAATAAAATTAAATGTAACCAATTTTAAATGCATTCGTTTAAAAATATTCATGTATCATTTTGAACTGTTTAACATTCGAAAAACAAATGTCGAATGTATGCACATAATCATAAATAATAATATTTACACATAGATTACTGAAAAAAAAAAAAAAAAAGAGATTTAAGGAAAGCTATTTTAGATGCCATTACACATTTTAAAACAATTATTATTATTATTATTATTAAAACTATTTCAGGTAAAATTAAATTTTTGTTTAAAACTTGCACTCGAATAACCATGTATAGAAAATAGAAAAAAGAAAATTATCATTATTAATTATAAAATATCATTTTCATAAGGTTTTTTTTAACTAAAAATATAATAATAATAATAATAATAATAATGTTTAGCATTGAAAAAGAAATTTTTTGTTTAATAATAATAATAATAATAAAATTTTCATTACCTGTGTGAATATAGGTTAGTTTTTTTTTAATTGGAATTAAATTTCTTTTCTCGTCTTCGAATTTCTTTTTTTAACCGTCGTAATCCACTCATTTTTTTTTAAATTTTATTTTAACAAACGTTATTATTAATTAACACAAAATAATTTTTTATTCAATTAAATTTGTTTTTAATAGTTTAATAATTTTTTCTCAACGGTCACTTTATATAGAAATCTTTTACAAAAAAAAATAATAATAATAATTCGTTGACTTGGTTTTTTTAAATTAATTAAAACACTTTTAAAACAAGTGCAAATAATTAAATTAATATCAATAATAAATAAATTTCACGTATTAATTATAAAAAACTTGATGAAAATAAAATTTTAGGTTTAAAACTTAAAAAAAAAAAAAAGTTGTGATTCGTAGTCACTTTATTATCCGACTTTTTAATTAAACAACAACATTCGTTTGTTTGTTTTTTTTTTTTTTTTTAAATAAAAATTTTTGATTCACTGTCCGCGAATTTTTTAATTATATATATATAGACACATATTAATATAAAATAGTTACATGATTAAAAAAACACCGCGAGTTTATTTTTATAAAATAAATCACTTTAAATAAACGTTGTTCCCAAAATAAAAAAAGAAGCAAGCAAAATAAAACTGAAATTTTTTCTTTTCTTTTTTTTTTTTTTTAACTGCAGTAGACAACGTGTCCATGAGTCAGCTAGACTGACTCGAGCTTAATTCTAAAACCGTAAACGATTCACCGCAACCTTATCGACTTATCATCATTTTGAAACGAAACTTATTTTACCATTTTAGTGTAAAAAGACAACAAGTAACATTAAATCGCAATATCTAAATAATTTTTTTTCATTGAGCTAGTGAAATTAAAAATGAAAAAAGAAAGTTTTACTCATTACGTTAATATTGTTATTCACTTCTTTTAAATTTTCCTTTTTTTTTTTTTATTTAAAAAACAAACTGATAAAATTTATAATCGTAGTAAGCTAATCGTAGGAGAAACGGTCTATTTATGTAAGGCCTTATTTAAGGATCTATTTTGATAATGGATGAATATATGCATTCGAAAAAAATTTTTCTAAAATAATTTATTTGCCAAATTTTTATTTATTTATATTATTATAAATAAATTGAATAATATGTCAGATTTAATTAAAATCGACACAAAGTTTTTTACTTTTTATATTATTAGCAACAAACCCCCCTTTCCCCCCCCCCCTCGAAAGAGTTAATATTAACGTATAAATAAAATGGAAAAGAAAAAAAAAAATAAGTTAATAAATTATTACACACAAAATATAATAATATTTACATACTAGAATCGTTTAAATATTTATTTATAATATAATATAATTATTTAACTATTTAATTTAATTTATAATATCGTAAATAAAATTGAAAAAAAAAAAAAAAATTGTTTTAAGTCTAAATATATTTTTTTTTTTTATACAAAATGTTTATAAATTTGTGAATTGTTGATGTTATTATTACAAAACTATTTTTTTTTTTTTTCTGGCAAAGATAAAAAGCAATATGTTTATAACAATTTACATTTGAATAAATTTAAATAATTTACAATTATTATTATTATTATTTTAAAAAAAATTGTTTATGAATTAGAAACAATGTTTAAAAAAAACATGAAAATAGTCTTAAACTTTTTTTTAATGTCTGATGTGTAATATTTATTTAATAGTATTAATTAATTAATTAATTTAATTATTAATTAAAATCTTCTTTTTTATGTACATAAAACTGATATTTAAATATTTAAATAGATTCACAATTTTGCATTTGAAAAAAAAAAAAAAATTGATTTTCCACCATTGATTATGAAAATTTAAATCTATTAATATAATTTATTTTTAATTGGGGGAGGGAGGGGAAGGAGGGGGTGGGCGAATGATACATTTTTTAAAAAAAGGGGTAAAAAAATATATAAAATGTATTATTTTTAAATTTATCGAATAGAAAAACCCAAATCGAAAATAACAAATTATTTTTGAATGACATTAAAAAAATGTGTATGTATATATATATATATATATATATATATAAATTTGAATAATTGACTTTAAAGAAGGCCCTCATTACGTCATTCAAAGGTATGAGTCATCAGTATTCACGGACGCTACGTCAACAATGAATGCTAGGCTACACTTTCAATCATGATACTAGATACAAAAAAAATTATTAAAACGCAATGAGGGCATGTTAAAGGCTTAAATAAAAACAGCAAAAATAAATTTATGAAAAATATCAATAATAATAAAACATTGTTTTTAAGGTAAAAAAAAAAGCTCTGAAAGGATCTATGTATTTATTTAAAAAAAAAAAAAAAAATGAATAAATAATAATTAAATTTTATCGAATTGAAGAAAGAACAAATATGTCGATTTAAATTGTGTGTAATGGTTTAAATAATTTTTTAAATTGGTAAAATGGTTGATAATAACTTTTTTTCTGTGAGTCAGAAATTAGTCATAAACATCCGTTCATCCCTTTTTTTTTTTTTTTATCGTTCATAAAATTAACACCCTAGGATTTTAAATTATTTTTTACAAGGATGTAAAATATTAACAAATTTTTACATGTTTATTAATACAAATATTTCAATTAAATTAACTATTTAAAAAAAAATTTTATTGTGATTAATTCAAAATTTATGATATATGTTGATATAATAATAATTTTTTTAAACAAGGAAACAACGGAAAAGTTTTTGATTATTAATTATATTATTAATTAAAAATAAAAAAAAGTAAATAAATAAATAAATAAATCATTAATTAAAACTTCGTTATTTTTAAAATTGCGTTTTTAGCGACATCTTTTAGTGAATTTTTAAAGTATTTGAATTTGATTTGCAGAAAGCATCACCTGTCGGCGGTAAATTTTAAAAAATGACGTGGCACAGGAAACGTTTTATAGGCGTCGTCTGCTTTTTGGGTACAAATCTAAACACATAGTTCTTATAGGATATATAGTAATCTGCACTTATGATTACAAAGAAGGAGCGCTTTTAACGAATAGTACAATTGTATGAAACTACTTAGTGGTAGGGATATCAGTTAAATTGTCGGGTAATTTTATTCATTAAAAAGCGCGTTTTTAGGTATGTTATTTTTAAATTAAAAATTTTTAGTTTAATTTTTTCTTGGTGTTTAATTTTAATCAGTGAAGGTCCACGTTTATCATCGTTAAAACTGGACCTTCGTAAAGAGCTTGCGCAATCAAGATCGTGATTCAATTGAAACTGTGAGTAGTTTTTGACAGTTTCCTAGAGAATTTTTTATGTCTTCTCAAAGCATTATTTATTGAATGTTGGACCCATTGATTGGTTTTTTTTTTTAAATTTAAAAAAAATATTTTTTTTAAAAGTTGAGTTTTCAGTTAATTAGTGACAAAATGTTTCATTGGTTGAATAAAGAGGGAAAGAAAAATGAAGTGTTTGAAAATGTACTTGAGGGACTTAAAAAAGTATACAGACAGAAATTATTACCTTTGGAACTTCAGTACAATTTTCATGATTTTCATTCTCCACAATTGGATGACTCTGATTTTGATGCCAAGCCAATGATACTTTTAGTTGGACAATACTCAACAGGGAAGACAACATTTATTAAATATCTTCTAGAGCGAGATTTTCCTGGGATTAGAATTGGACCAGAGCCCACGACAGATCGTTTTATAGCTGTTATGTATGACACAAAAGAGGGAGTAATTCCCGGTAATGCTTTGGTAGTGGATCCTAAAAAACAATTTCGACCATTGGCAAAATTTGGAAATGCTTTTTTGAATAGATTTCAATGTTCAACATTACCATCTCCTGTGCTTATGGGAATGTCCATTGTTGACACACCTGGGATTTTATCCGGTGAAAAGCAAAGAGTGGATAGAGGTTATGATTTTACAGGTGTTTTAGAATGGTTCGCAGAAAGGGTTGACAGAATTTTATTATTATTCGATGCGCACAAACTAGACATTTCCGATGAGTTTCGTAGATCGATTGAAGCGTTAAGAGGTCACGATGATAAAATCAGAATTGTATTAAATAAAGCAGATATGGTGGATCATCAACAATTGATGAGAGTTTATGGTGCTCTTATGTGGTCTTTAGGAAAAGTTTTACAAACTCCAGAAGTGGCTAGGGTTTATATCGGCTCATTTTGGGACAAGCCGCTTACATATACGGCAAATCAAATTTTATTCGAAGATGAGAAACAAGACTTATTTAGAGATATACAATCTTTACCTAGGAATGCAGCACTCAGGAAGTTAAATGACTTAATTAAAAGAGCTAGGCTTGCTAAGGTAATGTAATTTTAATTATTATTTATTTATTTATAACTTTTTACATCGCCATCATTGTTTAATTATGGCAAAATTGCTAGCGAGTGCAATATCATTTGATATTTTCAATATTACATGAATAATTTGAAAAATTGTGCAACATACCGAATACAATTTTCTAATAATGCAAATAGGAAAAAGGCGTGCATGAAACATAATGTCTTTTTTATCCTTGATTTTTTTTTTTTTAAAGTATTGAGCATTCTCGACAATGTATTTAAACAATATGTTATCAAAATGTCTGCTGTAAATCTGTGTTTTTTTTTTTAGTTGTAAAAATTTCAAAATTAACTCGAAGCCTTAATTTAAAATAATTTGTTCTTTTAAATACTTGAAACATTTTATTATTGATGCTATGAATATATATAAATATATATTTATATATATATATATGTGTATCAGAGTAATTTTTTATGGTGTGAAGTTTAGTCATTCTACATAAAAAAAAAAAAAAGCCATTATGAGTCATTAATTTAATTTTTTTCATTTGTAACTAACTACTAAGGTAATTTAATTTATATAGAAATTACAGTAGTAAGTCAGTAGTAATTTTTTTAATTTCTAAAAATAAATTAATATAATTATTAATTTGAGAGAGAGAAAAAAAAAAAAAGGAAATGAATATAAAATAGATATAAAGGTGGAAGAAATAATAATGTTTAATGGAATTGAAATTTTTTTTTTTTTTTTTTTTTTAAAAGTAATGGCAATTAAATTAAAATTAATAATTATGAATTTATTTTTTTTTTTCGAATAAAAAAAAAAAAAAAAAAAAAAAAAAAAGGGATCAGTTAACTCGTAAATGAAAAAAAAAATTCCACAGGTTGCCTAAGTTTTTATTTAATCACATTATTAGAAAGTTTTTCAAATAAGTATTATTATTGAAGCATGAAATAAATAAATAAATAAATAAATTATAAATAGATAAAAAAAAAAAAAATTTATGATTAGAATTTTTCTTTTGCTCTAAATTTTTATTTACTTGATAAATAATATATAATAAGGCCATGTGCACAAATTATTTTATGAGAAAAAAAAATTTAAAATGTAAGTGATTTTAAATTAGAGAGAAAAAAAAAACTAAGTAAATTCGAATGTGACCTTCAAGTTAATTATTAACTTGCAATAATTTTGTTGTTGTTGTTGTTGTCGGTTGTTGGTTGTTGTTTGTTGGTTGTGCAAGTTTGTTTCGAATAACTTGAAACAAGGGAAAAA